TTATCTACAATAACACAAGGACATTGATATAAAACATTATCTACATTAACACAAGGACATTGATATATAACATTATCTACAATAACACAAGGACATTGATATAAAACATTATCTACATTAACACAAGGACATTGATATAAAACATTATCTACAATAACACAAGGACATTGATATAAAACATCTACAATAACACAAGGACATTGATATAAAACATTATCTACAATAACACAAGGACATTGATATATAACATTATCTATAATAACACAAGGACATTGATATAAAACATCTACAATAACACAAGGACATTGATATTAAACATTATCTACAATAACACAAGGACATTGGCTATAACATTATCTACAATATTACAAGGACGTTGATATAAAACATTATCTACAATAACACAAGGACATTGATATAAAACATTATCTACAATAACACAAGGACATTGATATAAAACATTATCTACATTAACACAAGGACATTGATATAAAACATCTACAATAACACAAGGACATTGATATAAAACATTATCTACAATAACACAAGGACATTGATATAAAACATTATCTTCAATAACGCAAGGACATTGATATAAAACATTATCTACAATAACTCAAGAACGTTTTTATAAAACATTATCTACAATAACACAAGGACGTTGTTATAAAACATTATCTACAATTACACAAAGACGTTGGATATGACATTATCTACAATAACATAAGGACATTGATATAAAACATCTACAATAACACAAGGACATTGATATAAAACATTATCTTAAATAAAACAAGAACATTGATATAAATCATTATCTACAATAACTCAAGAACGTTGGCTATAACATTATCTAGAATAAATTAATCTTTAAAATTAACATGGCAGTTTTACATCATATTAAACAAAACAAGACATTGATTTTAATATATCATCATTCAATCATTCAAAATATAGCAAATATAATTGAATAATACTATGAGATAGAATAAGACAACCAAACCTTCTCATCTACAGCAACCTAGTGAATAGTGACTTCGTCTACACAAAACCAATATATTGATTATAATGTTATATTGAACATAACAAAGAGGACATTGAAATATGGCATTATATTATATACACAAAATTTTGAATCATAAATTTTACAGGATGAACCACAAAAAAGAAGCGAAACAATGAATTCTAACATCATTTTTCATGTTTTAGATAGAAAAAGTCAAACATAGATCTATAACATTGTCTAACTATTCGTGTGTCTTATCATTGGTGTGCCCTATCACAGTTTTTATCATCTATTTAAAGCATCACGTGTTATTTGTAGTATGTTTATAAAACAAAGTTTCCTTGTTTATTGACTTGTTTTAAAGAACTGTTTTGTTGTTAAACAATTCCTCTATATCTGTAGCATTGTTTTGTCACATATTCTGTGTCAATATAATTGCTGTCTTGGTAACGCCAGCACAATACAATATTGTACTGCCACAAAGGAAATGGCTTTTTCTTGAAGCAGTTGCCATCAGGGCAATGTCAAATTGGGGATATTTTATTTTTAGAAATAATGTATGTTATAACAATATTCGTATCAGTTTATTGTCTCTACTGAGCCTTTTTTATATACATGGTTTTATAAATGAAAAACTTTTCAATTGGTGTGATTGTAGATAATGGTAGAATCACCACCAAATTGTCACATACTGTGCTAACGGTGGACGTGCTGTACGTGCGCCAACAAATTAAATGAATGCAGAGTATGTGTAATCTTACCATGTCAAATATTGTCATACCTACTTACTACAGTAAACATGTACATTATACAGTATTGTTCTGATGTTATACATAGGTGCAATGTTTTCTCGTGCCACTTCTCGCCGAGGTGTGACACTCTCTTGTTTACATTCGATATGATCCCCGGTCCAAAACATCGACATACATATATATCGAGAACGGAAAGGTCATTTAGTTATCACACAAAAAGAGATATACGACTTCTAATTAATATTAAGTTGGTATCGAATTTCGGGAAGACGTATATGTATATAACCTGTCAGTCATCGTAAGTAAACAATATATTCCACAGAGTTTACATGGCAGTTATAATCAATTAAATGGGGATAAAATACAGGACAGAATGGAAATCAAATAGCTGACATCAAGAAAACGTGTTCACATATCAAGTAGTAGTATATATATTTGTCGATAACGCGCGACATGTCGATCTATCTATTAGTAAAAAAAAACACACAAACAAAAACATGGATAAAACAATAACACATCTGTCATTTTTCATTGTTCTTCAAATATGAGAATCATTCGTATCCAATAAAAGTAAGCATAGAAATTGACAAACTTAACATTCTTCTCGAGGGTAACATCAGTTTGTTTGATGCAGTCCTGTATTTGACATCGTGTACATACAAGATCTAGTCTAGCTGCAAAATATATAATATGTTTATTTGTATTCATACTTCTTTAATCAAACAAAAACTTCATGATTCTTTTTATCCTATCCTATAAAATTTTCATGAAATACATGACATTTCTTGACTTAAATTTGACATGCCATAATATATGCACATCAAACATGTGTTAAATGCGTGTAATTAATTATATCGCGTAAAATTGATCTTGTGCACCCGACCTGCACTGTAGATAAGGAGCAGCAATGTAATAATAGTTATTGTCAGTGACGTTTATTTCTTTTATACGTCCCGGTTATTGTTATTAACGTATATTTCTATTATACGTCCCGGTTAATGTCAGTGACGTATATTTCTATTAAACATCCCGGTTATTGGCAATAAGTATATTTCTGTTATACGTCCCGGTTATTGTCAGTGACATATATTTCTATTATACGTCCCGGTTATTGTCAGTGACGTATATTTCTATTAAACATCCCGGTTATTGTCAATAAGTATATTTCTATTATACGTCCCGGTTATTGTCAGTGACATATATTTCTATTATACGTCCCGGTTATTGTCAGTGACGTATATTTCTATTATACGTCCCGGTTATTGTCAGTGACGTCCGGTTATTGTCAATAACGTATATTTCTATTATACGTCCCGGTTATTGTCAGTGACGTATATTTCTATTATACGTCCCGGTTATTGTCAGTGACGTATATTTCTATTATACGTCCCGGTTATTGTCAGTGACGTATATTTCTATTAAGCATCCCGGTTATTGTCAGTGACGTATATTTCTATTATACGTCCCGGTTATTGTCAGTGACGTATATTTCTATTATACGTCCCAGTTATTGTCAGTGACGTATATTTCTATTATACGTCCCGGTTATTGTCAGTGACTTATATTTCTATTAAACATCCCGGTTATTGTCAGTGACGTATATTTCTATTATACGTCACGGTTATTTTCAGTGACGTATATTTCTATTATACATCCGGGTTATTATCAGTGACGTCTGGTTATTATCAATAACGTATATTTCTATTATACGTCCCGGTTATTGTCAGTGACGTATATTTCTATTATACGTCCCGGTTATTGTCACTGACGTATATTTCTATTATACGTCCCGGTTAATGTCATTAACGTATATTTCTATTATACGTCCCGGTTATTGTCAGTGACGTATATTTCTATTATAAGTACCGGTTATTGTCAGTGACGTATTATTATACATTCCGGTTATTTTTTAAGTGAAATTCGGCAGTTTATGGTACAGGAAATGTTATCATTTTCAAAACAAAAACAAACAACGTATCTCAGCGGTAGCTATTCTGGGACATAACCTGATGTTCAGCGTGATAAACATCTCATTATACACACATGTGACACCTACACATATTTGATACATTGATATTTATCAATCACAAATCTGTATGCGGTACTTGAGAAGTTAGTGCCAAAACAAACAACAAATAAAACCATCCCTACCCTTCCGACTATATGTTTTCAGGCTGGAGCAGGAAACAATTTTTTTTCGCTTAGCAAAAGACTGATCTCTATTTAGGTTTCTGTTATGATGGTCCACTCTCTGGTCATTAAATGATAGCTCAGTCAATATTACCAGCATTTAAGGTATTTCTTTAATGAAGAATCATTTGATACTCGAGCTAAGGTCTTAAAGTTATTGAAACGCACGGAAGAAGGGAGTTAACTCGTTGTGCATAACATTTTATCACACGATCTACGATTGGTCCGTGATGGTGAGGGACCCAAAATATGGTAAAATCGTGGATACTGCTGTGTAAAATCAAAATCAGCAACGACAAAATTTCAAATTCACAAAATCGCTCTCGATTTAACGTTATAACTTGTATTTTGTTTTATGTTCTATGTATGTGATATAATTTATGTAATATTTGTGTCTTGATAAAGGGGCAGATTGCCCCGAAAATTTGACAATTCACGTGTCCATACAGTCGAAATTACTTCATTGATCATATATATATATATATATATATATATATAAATAATAATAACAATAATAAATTTATTCAGGATAAATATGTATAGATTTGATATTTGATATATGAGTGCGTGTGAAATTTTTTGTCACAAAATTGAGTATGCCCAATTTGAATATTATTCCTCTTTCTATTTTATATTATCAATTCTGAAAAATGAAAACTACAACATTCTTTTGGGGAAAATAATATTAAACACAACACCACTACCTAGTTATTTTAAATGTACTTACAAAAAAAATCAAGCATTAATGTCGTTCTGTTAAGTAAACTGGTTGGATGCGTGTATCAGCGGAATTGTGTTGTCAACATATTTTTTAACCCGTCTTTGATATTAAATATAATCTGTTAGGACTTATCCAAACATATCAACATATGTACTTGGAAACAATGTAAACGCCACCACTTCAAAGAATTTTTTACTCAGGTCGTGTGTAAAGCTAACTACAGTTACCTCCCTTTGTTTGCTTCTTGACAAAGTGAGGCAAGTAACCCCCTTATCAAAATAAATCCCCGGATGTAAACAAAATGGAGGACAAGGAGAGGTGATTGAGTGAAAATTGAAATAGTTTTAACTACCGTTGATGTAGGAAACATCATAGTATGGCCCACCACGCGCGGTTAGGGCCGTTTTATGATCCCAAGTTGGACCAGGATATTTTAAGTCAAACACTAAGAGAGACGTCACCGCACAAATGGGACCTTAGTACAGAAAGGGGTCATCAAACATGGACCCCAACAAGTTTTGACAGAACACACACTACTTTTGGCAAGTCTAAGTAAGTGTTAATTGGTAAAAATCTCTATATTTTCTCTTATTTTGTGTTAACTGTAGTGCCGTGTTATGATCCCTAGCTATTTTTGTGGTTACACGGTTTTATAATCAAAGAGTCAATGGAGCGAATGCACGGATTGAATACATACAAGTACCATAACAAAGCGGTGTCAGTATCGGATTACATGCCCACGAACAAATAGGGCACTTGTGTCTTAGAGTCAATGGCACATCACTTGTTCGGAAACAGACCCTAAATTAAAGTGGTGCACAACAAACGCAATATTATTGAAAAGTTGCTGTCGTTTTATGGATAATAAACTTGTCACAATGTTATGACTAGGTGATTATTGCTGTCTAATGAGATTGTTTACACAAAAGCAAGAGTGAGACCTTTAAATATGAAATAAACATAAGCTGTAAAATCCTGCTTAAATTTCGATTGGATTTTAAGCTTTGCAATACAAATTGTAGCTGATTAAAGCAATTCACACATATACAAGTTAAAGTTAATAGATATATTTAATATGTATTTCAATATGATATAATTGTAATACATTTTCAGGTTAGGCAGTAGCAATTTGGTGACAAAATATTTTTCTTGTTAAATTATTATAATGATCAATGCTTGTGACTATAATTTATCATTGTATTACATGTAATTAGTACTTCTAAGTAGCTAGACATTGATTTTATTGCCATAGCCACCTTCCTGTAGTTAAAAAGGGAATTGTATTGGTTTCATTCTCAAAGCAACATGTGTCTCTATTAGTCCAGACATAATTTTATCTCATTTCATGTCAATTCAGAAAACTATGTTTACATATTTTTTTTTTTTTTAGAAGAGTCTTCTAATAGGGAATCTTGCAATAGCTGCTATTAAGTTTGCTCTTTCCTGAGTTGATTTCATGATCAGTTTCAATCTTCAGAAAGTTTGTTAGCACTGCCTTCTTTCAGTTTATTGTAAACATATGTTTAGTCCAAGAAAAATACTAAATTCAAAGATTGATAAAATACTTTTAAATGTCAGATATAGTTTCAACTTATTCAGTATAAACATCTAAAAACAATTCTTACATATTAAAACCATGTCAAATGGTTATGAATCTTGACTGGATGATCCTTTGAGGTGACAAACATTAACACTACCAAACATTCTGATAAAGTTTTCATTCAAATCTAAAATCTTCAAATCACACGGCTCATTATTTCATTTAATTGCGATGGCTTGCTGTGTGAATGTAAGTCTATAACTGGATTCTTGTTGCTAACATTATTGGCACTATACATACCATACTGACAGATTTTGTTGTATACTTATATTAGTGAATAGGTTTCTGTTTCCGTAACCAGATTTATGCAAAAAGACACTCAAGCTGAAAATTGGCTCATCAAGTGTTACATTGTTTCATCCCACTTATACAAAATCATATGATTAAAAAGCAAAAGTAATAAAATTCTCCAAGATTCAACAGTTTTATTACCATTATATATATATACATGTAACAATCCTAAATGTGGATATGACATGGTATATACAATGAATAGTTTATTGTTTCTATATAAGTAATTCATTATTTTTTAATTGTACATTTCAGTAAAGTGCAGGAGAGTTGGACTTCCCATGTGAGACAACAAGGAGATCTATTCTATGTTGATGTGAATGGTAGTCATGTTAGTGGACCTGTACAACAGCAGCAACACTACAGCAGTGGGTCACTTCACCACAGCAATGGGTCACTTCACCATAGCAGTGGGTCATTTCACCACAGCAATGGGTCACTTCACCATAGCAGTGGGTCACTAAACCATAATGATAATTCAAACCATAACTACAGCAGTAGGCTTGGACAGCCTCCAAAAAATAATATCCATGAAGGGAAACAAAATGGTCTCACCCCAACACAGAGACCTATGGTCAATGGACAAGTTCAGAATAATGGCAGTCGTTTGAGTTCAAATGGTTATCATAAAAACAAATCAAAGTACATTTCCCAAGACTTTGATGATGAATATGTTGAGTTGGACAGAAACGGCTATAACTCATGGATGTCTTCTCCACAGATTAGCAACAAATATCACGATATAAATCATGATGTTATTAACCAAGAACATGGTGGTAAAATAAAGCATGTGTATCTGTCACCCAATTATAAAAACTGTAAAAATGGTGGACAGATGTCAGGGATTAAATTGTGTGAGAAGATGTTTGGGATTAAATTGTGCCAATACAATGACAAGACACGTGTTAACAACAACAATAATATTGTGAAGGACAGAAAAGTTATTGTGCAAGCTGTAGTGCCAGGTAGTGCAGCAGAAAAATGTCGACAGATACACAGAGGTAGGCAGTCATGCATGTAACATAAAAGTAATGGGGCAGATAAACGTTTCTAATTGATATAATTTTGAAGAGTGAGCTGGTTTACAAATAATGCCTTTAAAAGCTTGAAATACAAGTAAGAATTATTTCTCTACTAAATATCTGTATAGCAATAGCTATCATGTCTAAATAAAGATCATGATCACCAACATGTTTGTATGAAATTCATACCAGTTCTGTAGCCCATATATATATTTTTGTTGTAGAAATTTAGTCATAAGTAAATAGACCTCGAATGGAAAACATACTGTTGCACATCAAGGAATTTTCTGTTTTAGTCAACACTTGTTCTTTGTAGGTGATATGATGTTGGGTATTAATGATTTGGAAGTGTCTTGGGTAAACCTTGATAAAACCTTCAACTCCATTTCAAACAAAAAGGTAAGTTTATACATATTATGATATATACATCTATATTTATATATATACATATATATAAGAGTAAAACGACAGAAAGAGATGCTATGTTTATGTCAACTTTTCATTTTTTTCTATTATATATATATATATTCTAGATAAAGGTGACTTTCCAGGTGTTTATTTCATTCTAGGTAAAGGTGACTTTCCAGGTGATTTATTCTAGGTAAAGGTGACTTTACAGGTGTTTATTTCATTCTAGGTAAAGGTGACTTTCCAGGTGATTTATTCTAGGTAAAGGTGACTTTACAGGTGTTTATTTCATTCTAGGTAAAGGTGACTTTACAGGTGTTTATTTCATTCTACGTAAAGGTGATTTTCGAGGTGATTTATTCTCCATAAAGGTGACTTTACAGGTGTTAATTTCATTCTAGGTAAAGGTGACTTTACAGGCATTTATTTCATTCTATGTAAAGGTGATTTTCGAGGTGAAAAGGTGACTTTACAGGTGTTAATTTCATTCTAGGTAAAGGTGACTTTACAGGTGTTAATTTCATTCTAGGTAAAGGTGACTTTCCAGGTGCCAGTTGTGATTGGACCTCAGACACCTCCACCGGTGCCACTACCTACATACAAGCATTCCTTGCCACCTAAAGCTCCACCTCGACAGGAGGGAGAGGACATTGTTCAGTTAGTGGCTGGAACAACGACTGGGGCATTGTCCAGCAAGTTCCAATCTTGTCTGTGTTCATTCATGTACCTTACTCTAGAGGACAACGGCAGTGAATCGGAAAATGCAGAAGTAAGTCACAGTGTTATCAATATAATGTTGATGACACCTGTGTGAGGAAGCTTTTAACTTCACTTCTCAGGTTTCCTTGAAGTGTCACATTTTGTTTTTCTTGATGTTGTCAACAATAAGAGATTCAACATAACTTATCTTATAGTAAAGATATATTCAATTATTAATGATTTATTATTTTTTGATTTCCAGGATGATATTCTGTATATGTTCCCGCGGGATGAAAGCATTGCAACAGAAGTTAGGGGTATGTTTCTGACCCTGTGTGGAGTTCTTCCCGATATCACTGGGTCAGCAGTACAAACATCCACGTTATTGTACAAAGGACAATATATCCATGTAGTGTACAGTCGATACGGACAAGATTTACTGATAATGACCATGCCAGCGAACAGGTGAGCATTTTGACTTTTTACTCTTTATTAATTTTACTTGTTATTAATATTGATTTTTTATAACAGGAGAAAGGATTTCTATTACTTCCGTTTACGACATATAAAATCAGAACTTCCTGGTTTTATGGAGAAGTTGTTTTTAAAATTTTGTTTTTTTTTAATGAGATATTGTGACTGATAAGTGATTTTACTTTCATTTTTTGACAAATTTCAAGGGTTTAACTGATAAAAAGTTCTTAAAGATTGGACATTTCCCATTTCAAATAAGAAAACCAATTCAAGTTTTGAAGAGAAAAATGAGACCATATATGCTTTGTCTCTAGAAAGGTATATAGTGATTGATAAATACATCTGTAATAAGTTTATATGGGTGTTACAGGGTGCCACTTCCATACCTTCAATGTATCAAGTCTGAACTAGAACAGGTGATGGATTTGCTCTTTAGCTCAACATCAAGGTAAGGTATAGATAAGTGTTATATATCATGATGGTAACATCATTTTAGGCTTAAAATGCAGATTTGTGTAGGTGGAATGGAAATGATCTCTCAAAATTTCAAAAGCAGCCAGCCTTGTTATACCAATCTTCTTTTACACAGATGAAAGAAAGTTTCTTGTACATTTCATAAGCAGAAAATCATTAGATAATTGAAATGGTATTTAGAAGTAATTGTACCTACAATTATTCTGATACAGTTTACTATTTTTACAAGAAATTACCTCTGGTAGGCAAAAGTTGTGTAACATCATACAGCATTTATGAATACACTTCTCCCATTAAGTCTCATATACATAGACATTTTTAATGAGCAAAACAGCTATATACATAATTGTAGAAATTTACTTTGTTTGGTTATACATGAGTGCTTATAAGATATTTAGAATAGGGAAGTCCTCACTTCAGATCTCCTATGTCTAGTTTTATGTACTAATAGACTTTCATATTTGCTTTCTCTTTTCAGAGCATTCAGGAAACCCAGACATAAAAGTCATCTGGACCAGCTGTTCAGTCTGACTCTCAACAAAATCTTTGGTTCTGATAACTTTAGTACTACCTCTAGTGCATCCAGTAAAGCCCTGTGTGGATCTATACCTGGTACCCAATCATTGGTGTTATCACAAGATAACAAGGTACAAACTTAATTTTGCGATCATATAGCTGTTCTCCATTACATTAGGTTTGGTGCATATTGACATATTTCTGATATTGTTCTAGATGAAGCTAACAAAGTTTGCTGTAGTTCTGAGGCCAGGCCTCTGCTGTGACAATTGTGAAGATTTGAGTCATCATGGTTTATGAAACTGCTGCTGGCATTTTTTTTTCAAAAATAAAAATTTTCTTAATTTAGAAACAACTATTAAGTTTCAAAATTGTTTGTAGTTAATGACAATTTTGTAAAGTTGGGTGAGCTATTGCTGTAGCTGACCAGATTTTTTTCCCCTTAATGCTGAATATGTTTTGAAATTTCTTTTTTTGCTGCAGATTCTATGCGATGAAATACTCAGTGAATTTGAAGCTGCAGATTTTGACGACTTGGTAAGAATTTGTTGAATTCTTTGCTATTGCTCATAATGTTTTAAATGGAGCAGGATTATTTGATAAGTTTGAGGGAAAACAGTTTATGATCAAGAGTTATATGTAGGATAATTACCAACTTTCTCCACAACTACTTTATGAATATCTATGTATTTAATGCCAATAAACTGAAACAGATTTATCAAGTATATAAATATTTCTGTAACATCTAATTTGTTTACAGGAAGAAGATTTGCCATTTGACAGAAGGACATTTTCAATACTTGGCACTTGTTTATTCTATAAGGTGATTATTGACATCATTGTGAGTTAGATTTTGAAATGAAATGGGGAAATATTTTCCTTAAATGTTATACAAATGCAGTAATTAAACTTCAGTATTGTTATTTTTTCTATATTTGCCCTTCCTACCTTAGGTAAGTGGATGTGTATGATAACCACTTTGTGCCTCTGGCATTTACATTTAAAATCACTGTAAACATACTTATTTTGGCACATTAAAAATGATAAATTGACACATATGCAATCATTGCTTCATTAATGATATAATACAGAAACTGTAATAAGTGCAATCATATTTTAATGCAATATGTTAAGCATGAATAGTGCTGAAGTAAGATTACTACTGAAGTGTTTACCTTTATGCTAGATTAGCAGTCTTCTGCAAGATGGCGGTACTAATATTTACTTCAGAAACATTCTTATTAAAAGTGACACATTTGATAACAATTATGATCAACAGCGGTGAAAATTCATGTTTCCTGTCATGTCTGTCACCATTTGTTTGTTTGATTTTCCATGGAATACAAGTATATGATTTTGAGATGACAGAGTCTATATTGGTACAATGTGTTTTCCAGGAGTACTTGCTCTGTAACCACCTAGCAACAGAGGACCTGCAGGATGTCCATTTATTTCTCAAGTATCACTGCTTGCTTCACCTTGTGTCCAGACAGAATGTTGAGGAGCTGGTCATTTGGAGGGAGGTGTTCCCTTCCCGCCTTTGTCGACCTTCTCAGTCCTCTCCTGTTGGGTATGAGGAGCCTTCTGGTCGCTGGTTCCTCCTTATTGTAGGAATGGTGAGTTGGGTTGCTGTCCTCTCAAGTTTGTAATTGTTGGACTCTTCCTTGTTGTCTTGACTGGGTTTTTTTTCCAAAGAGTCATACTCTCTCATCCTGAAGGTATTCTCACACAACTGTATCCTTCTTTTCATTGCTCTTTACTGTTTACAGAAAAGTTTCCTGTTGGCCACCTTGTTGGAGGCAGGTGGATGTGCAAGGACAATTGATGGGAACCCCCGTCCAGATCCATTTTATATCAGTCAGGCCAAAGCAACCTTGTTACAGCTTGAGACTGATGATGTAGCCATGGCTGAGTGCTGTGAGAATAGGTCAGTATATCATACTTAGCTGTGGACCAACAATTTTTGTGTCTCAGATTTTGCTTTAACTGATTGTATGGACGTCTCCATAGCTACATGTTTATTTATTTCTATGGTTATTTACTTCATCTATGTATAGGAGCTGCAAATGATGACATAATATACCTGATGTATATCATTTTTTCTTTGAAAAAATCTAAGGTTTTGAAATTTTGTGCAGAAATAAGTCAAGTATTCTGCTGACTGAATAGAAGTTGTGCATGGTCAAGAAATTTTATGTGAAATGCTGTTGTGATACTGAAAATTGTTTGAATTTTTGTGTCATTCAATTTTCTGTTTGTAAACAAATTTACCCAATGCTTAATGTTTTATCAAAGGATATAATGTAATGTTTTGCTGCATGATGAATTTGAAATCTTGTTTATTGGTATAAAAGTTCTACTGTTGAGGAGTCAATGCCCCTGGTATGGTTAAAATGTTTAGCAATTATAGATAAATTGTCATTCAAAAGTGAAAGATAATCCAGGATTGTTTTTATTATGTCAATGTGCTAGGTGTATGATTTAGTGTATGATTTCTGTGTACTAGGTTGAGCTCTGAGAGGAGTGGCCCATCCCTTGCCAGTACTGATGCACTAATGCTGGGTACTAAACCCAAGAGAGAAGAATCAACACCTTCCAAATCACAAGGTTCACCCAAGTCACGTAAGCATGATAACTGTTTTGTTAGAATTTTTACATCTCTGCTATAATAATACATCCACTCTTTCATATACTGCACATTTCTGCATTGCTTATCATGTGATTTAACATGATATTAAGAAGTTTCTGCTGAAGCTTTCATTTCAGTTCTCTTTATACCATTTCTCTTTTCCTTGACATTTATGATAACTGTTCTCACAAACTTATCAATAGCTGTAGTATAAGTGGACTGTTTGTGTTGCTGAAGTTAAACTGTTGTTTTGTTTCCTTGTGAATTATATTGCTATGTTTGATACACCAATTCTCTCTTTCTTTTTAATTCTATTTATCTGTTGTCTATATCTTACTTTGTACATACTCTATAACTGTAGATACAGGTTGATATATTTAGGTATCATAATGATTCTTTGTCATTGTGAAGCATTTTCAGGTTCTCTGATACTTGTACAAATTTACTTAAGTTCTAAATAGCTCAACAACTCAAAAAGTTACAAGTTATATTAGTTTATGAAAAGAACATGATGATTTGATATCTTTAATACTAAAGACATGATTTTGAAAAATATAAAATTGGTACAATCCTGGAACAATTGAAGTATTGAAATGTCTACATCCATTTAGCCTTCCTGTCTAGTATCATGACTATATTACTAGGTAGTCTGGAAATCATAGTAATATGGAGACTGAAGTCTAGTTAGCAATGTGTAACAGGATTAGGAATTATCAGTGTCTATGTTATCATTGTTAAGTAGATAGCATAGGTCTGTGTTTTCACCACACTGCATTACATCTTTATATCACCTGCTATCTTACATTCGCTGTGACGTCTGTGTATCACCTGCTTTATTAAATACCCATTGTATTGTCTGTGTATCACCTGTTATATTGCATATTAACTGCATCGTCTGTGTATCACCTGTTATATTGCATATTAACTGCATCGTCTGTGTATCACCTGTTATATTGCATATTAACTGCATCGTCTGTGTATCACCTGTTATATTACATATTAACTGCGTTGTCTGTGTATCACCTGCTCTACAGTATTGCATATTCCTCTTGTCGTCTGTGTATCACCTATTATATTACATATTCACTGTGATGTCTCTGTATCACCAGTTGCTAAGTCTGCCTCTTGCCTTGCCTCGACAGCTGCTGTCACTACTAGACCTGCACCAGATTCCTCATGGCCATTAGGCTCATATTATGTCACTAATAGAACATACATCTATAGTGAGTATTTGACATCACCTTTCTCATATAAACCAGACCTTCATTTATTTTTATAGAATTATATGTCAGCTAGTGTAGGCATGTGTATTTGTTTTTAGTTTTAGAATAGTGTTCAATAACAAGTACGAAATATTGTAGTTTTCATAGTTTCATAGACAGGTCATAAGTGTAATAAGGTTTGCTTTGCTGAAAGAAACTAATGAATGTGATGTGTAGGTGATACCATGATTATTATTTAAAGGAACATGTTTCAGAAAATTTGTATTGTCTTTTCCACTCTTTGAAACAGAGCAAGTATGATTTTCTGTAATTGAAATATTTCTGAATATACAGATATGATAAGAAATATTCATACTTTGTATTTATACATACATTTTTGAGTACATGAGAAATTGAAATGTAATTGATAAGATATCATTTTGTAGGTCATGATGATCAAGAAGGGGACAGGGTATCTCATGGGAAAGGTACTGCTTATACAGGGAGTGAGACATCTACCCCAGTGATGAGACGTCAGGGCAGTAAGCTGTCATATGGATCCAATGACTCTGGTGGGAGTGGCAGCAGTGCCGGGGTCAGTCGTGGTAACACAGTAAGTCTCTACTTATAATAAACTAACTATATGTTAAAACTCTTAATAGGCTATATGTGGACACTCAGGCTTTATGTATACCTCAGAGAAGCTTTTTTATAAACACTAAGAAAGACTATGTACTCAGATAGGCTTTATGTACACAACATCAATTTTGTGGCTCCAATGACCTACTCTGTGTTAATGATTTTTTAAGAATATAGCAATATATTGTTGTAACATTCAGTAATGTAAACACTGAAATTCTTAATTTGATCAATGAGTAGCTGAAATTATCACTCATGAATTTGAAAATACAGTGTATATAACTTTTTTGATTATATTGAAATATATATGAACCTGATACATGCATGTTTTTCTGTGATAGAGCAAGACCCTTAGCAAAGCTGGGTCAGTGTTCGATATGGCCAGTATGAACCAGAGTCTGACTGCAGTTTCTGACGAGAACAAATCTGTCTACCCAATTAAGTGAGTAAGCTAATTAGGATAAATATAGTAGTCATACTGTAACGTTTCATGTTTTGGAGTGATTTATGACACAAATAAAATTGTGCAATGTTGAAAAATTATGACTATTAAGATACTAATATATCCTTGTTAGTGTCTAGTTTAAGGTATCCCAGTAACAATCGTTATCCAATTGATAATTAGAATCAGAATAGTGATCACTGTGTCTGTAATGAAATGACCTGTTCATTCAGCTGTAGAATTTATGTAAATGTAGATGGATGTAGCATACAGTTATCATGTCAAAAACCATGACTGGGTGTGAATTTTGTCTCATTGTGTTAATGAAATATTGTTAATTCATTTTGTGGTGGTGTTTTTACAGAGTCACAAAGGGAGTGGACAATGTGTTATTTCACTATCTAAACTTTGATGGCCTGGAAGGAGTTTATGTGTGCCCCACAGCTCAGGAGATGTGCATGTCTCAGGGAGCACTACATACTCAAGTTCTACACAATTTTAACACCTCCTGTCTTCAACTACGCAAGAAATTCCAACGGACATATATGGTGAGTGAATACTTTTTAACCGTTAATATATATATATAAATATTACAGTGATTACTGCTGCCACCATCCGTCCCATCATGTCTTGTCACACCCTGTTCTGAGTCTATGTCAAATTTTTACTAAGATGGTTATTAGTCAAAATTATGCATGAAAATGGGGACATTCATGTCTTACAGATATTTCAGACATTTTGTAGTTTGATTAAGACTCTTAAGAATTATGGTACTTTTTCCATAAAATTGAGTGGTAGAAGTAGAGAAGTTTTAGGATGAAAAATCATAGATCTTGTTTTTCATTGCTTTTATTATCACTATTTCTTGAGAACTACAGCATAGATCTTTCGCAAATTTCATGTGTATAGGTTCCTTTAGGTCCTTAGTTGTGCCAGTTTGAGTTTGGGACGGAGCAGAAAAATTAAATGGCCGACAGACAGTCATCTTGGATTTTACCTAATAATCATTGTTATTGCTATTTGTTAAGAAGTACTGAATGGATATCTCTCAAACTTCATACGTATGTTCCCTTTGGTCACTGTGTCTCTCTTTGTATTCATTTGATATTGAGATTGATCAGAAAAAACAAAATGATAAAGATTATCATCTCTCTTTCTGGAAAGGAATGTTCAAATTTCTTATAACTAAGAACAAAACAAAGAAGAGAAAAGAAGGGAAAAGATCTACTTTCAAAGAACAAATAAATATCAAACAATTGTGGGTGCCAAGATCCCTCTGGTATCTCATATAATATTAGTCTAATTGCTTGTTGTCTGATTTAGGGAAATGCCAAAATGTTTTTGAAGATAGTTAAATTTGAGAATCAATCATTAGGGATTAAAAGCTAATAAAGCTATGGAACAGCTTTTGTATGTAACAGATACTATTGTTTAACTGATGGTCATTATGATCGTGTTTGTTGAATTGATTTTGATCAGAAATCGGAGACAGCATGCAAGCGAAAGTTTGGTGAGGATACCACCTTCAGACATGTTCAGGAGCAGGGCACATTATTCCAGTACAAGCCCAGTGTGGCACCAGATGTCAAGAAAGTTCCACCAGCTCAGAGTTACTGGGTAGTTGGGTAGGTAGTCCTGTTTTCTTGTTAGAGAGAGTAGGGAAGGGGGTTGAAGTAGGAATGTTAGGGTGATGGCCGAAATATATGTAGGGATGTTGTCAAGGAGACCATGATAAGAAGTTGAGTTTGGTCATTGGGGTTATACACTGCAACCCAAGGTAGGTTAAGTAAGGACAGGGAAATAGAATAATGAATTTATGGGATTTTATCGCTGAAAAGTGCCTCCTTACCTACCTGCATTCATGCTGGAATAGATTTTCAGAACTAAAAAAATGCCTGTTGATGGTAACTGAATAACACAAGCTGAAATAGTTTCATCCTCTCTCATTTACATATTTATTTCCTGGTGTAACCCATACTACAGAAAGCAATCATGATACATTTTTGTCAATATATTATGACTGGTAATATCAATGGTATTATAATTTTGTCCGTTTTGTTGTGGATAAGAAATATCCATAAAATTGTTAAAATATCATTTATGCTGTTACACATTTGATTGAGCATGGTTTTATATTGTAGGCGACATTACCCTGGAAACAGAGAATTATTTGTCTGCTTCCATGAAAGTGTGCCCCAGACAGCTATAGAACTAGCATTCCGCCTGGATTTTGGATCCTGACTAACCATCTGTAACAAGCCAAGGAGACACTTTATATCTTCTGTCCAGCAGCGTTAAAGTTTTTCCACAAAAAAAACCACTTCATTCCAAAAGTGAAAAAATTGCAATTTTTCAAAGTAAGAAAATATTGTTTTGTCACTTAGATAGTGTGTAGACAGGAGACCATCCTGCATCTTCCCTAGCAGGTTGATGTGTTGGGACACAGAATATAGACAGTGCATAATACTAAGGTGTGAACATTCTAGAAGACTACATCATAATAGAATTGGTGCAATCATGTATTTTCAGTTAATTATTTCAAACAAATTGCTAGGTGATTTTGTATTTGCAATAATGTGTCTTCTTTATCTTTTGTTGAAAAATTACAGGGTTTCAAAGGATATTGTAGAATCCAATCAGTTAAGGAAATCAATAATTAGTGCTTTTGTAATGTTTAAAAGGATGGAACGAGGTAAAGTTCTTCTGTTTCAATTTTAAAGATAAATTTTTATTACATGTATATATATATATATATATATATATATATATTAGTTGAATTTATAATATTACAATTATAAGCATTACCAACAATTTATTGATAATATGAATACTGGCATGGTGTTAATTACTAAGCTATATTGCTTCCGTCCATATTTACTATACATTTATACTATTTACAATACTAAATTTATATTTACAGTTGCTAGCCTTGTGCTTTACATAATCAATGTTAAATGTCATTGATTTGTTGGAATGTCTGTCAGATTGTATGAAGTATGTAAGACTATGAGAAACAACCAACGTTTTACAGGGTTGATTCTATGGTTTAAAGGATTGTCATGTGATGCAGTGTCTATTTGGTACTGGAGCAGATAAGGGAGGAGATTTTGGTGTAGTGGAAAGGGACAGTCTGAAAAAAACACTATGATGAAGGTCAAATTAATCATGTAAATTACACATTACTTGTATCTAAAGGTATTTATTGCATGGAATATACCAGTATTTATAATATGACATAGCTTGTTGGCTTTAAAATCGTTTATATCATAACTCATTAGTATTTTGAAGGACATTTTGTACAGATTAGCTGACGTCTTTCAGATTTGATATTAAATATTGCTATTCATGAAGCCAGTTCAAATATTATATAGTGTTTTGAGTTACTTATGATTGTGTTGTGTTCGTTGAGTGCGATATGTTTTGATGTGTTTGTACTCGTGTGCTATTTTTGGGTGGAGTTTTAGTACCAGTGGGATATCATATAGCAGTGAATCTGTGAATGTTATGACTGTGATATGTGCCAAATTTTACATACCTGTGATATAGATATTTAAATCATCACGTCAGTAGTGATTATGTGTGTGTGTGGTAATTAAGGTGTTTAATATTTTATATATATCAAGCACCATGTATTTTCTTACATTGTAGGTTTATTTTTGGTTTAACACTGGAGAGTTATCCCTCAAATCAAATATCTAAGAGAGAAGTCCTGCTGAAAATTTGACTGTGTAACATGATGTTTATATTGTCTTTTTTCTTATTTAAAAGAAGAAAACTGAAGCTATTTAGACTGGAAAGAAATACCTGTCAATTAGAGATGAACATTTAAAATGTCCACAGCTGGATTCTAAATGGCTGTTAGTTTGAAAGCTGACTTGATATATGAAATTCTTATCATTTCCTCAGTTTTCATTGGTTAATTATTAGAAAATTTTACATTCAGGTAAATAAACATTTTAGTTGCCATCTCAAAACTTCATGCATCCTTAAAAAACTGAATATGTTGATATGATTATTTGCTACTTTCATCACCAAATTGTTGAGTCTCAAGGTAGAACAACTCATGTGGATGACTTTGTCATGTTTTGTTAGAGTCAAGAGTTGTGATAATTACTATCAACAAGGACAGGTTGTTTGTAGGATCAGTAGCTACAGAGAGTAATGTGTAATTGTAGACAGAATGTTGGAAATATTCTTACTTACCATTCCACATAGACGGTGCTATACTTAGATAATGTGTTCATTTTACAGGTGTATCAGGTTGAAAATGTAGAGAAATATCATTCAACAGTGTTAGAAATATTTCATTCACTAACGTAGTTGTCACCCTGTCATATTATGACTACACATCAACTGATGTTAAATGTTTATTCGTTGTCAAAACACCAATAAAAATTTAATGCTGCTCTAATCTTCACTAATCTCTTCTATTCCTTGGTATTGGTTAATAATCATTTACACATTTTTTGTGAACTTGTATGCTCATATAAAGTTTTATCTGTCATATAATTGTGAATGATTTAATTGAAAATCAAATATTTGTTAATTGAAAATAAGAAACAGAGATCATTCCATTGTAGTGCAAATGAAAATTTCTGTGTGCAGTATTGTTTGTATTTTGACAAAGCCGTATTATGGATATTGGGAAAGAAATCCTAATACTGCTGAAAGATTTTTAAAAACCATTCCTATCGGGCATATCAACATGTAGTTGATGTTATACCTGTAACTTTCTACTTCTATTACAGAGTGGTCTTGACTTTAAAGCTGGAAAAAGAAAGAAATACTCGAAACTTTCATCTGCTTAAACAACTTTGAATAGTATTTATTATCTTATTTATGGTTTTGACTTTGATTTCTTGGCAACGTTAAAAGAAATTACATTTTTTCCAGGAATGTGTTTTTTGACTGCCCTATTTTAACTTATTTGTATATAGTAAAAATTTGGAAATACTGATACAATGTACATCTTTTTAAAACTAAAAGTCCCTTTGGCAAATTACAAAAAAATAAAATACTTCATGTGCTTAATTTCCCCTTGACGTAAATGATTTTTGAAAGTAGATGTTGGATGTTCATTAATTTAGTGTTACTAGTAATCAAATACAGCACTTTGTGAAGTTTCTATACATTAAAGTCCACCTGAATATTGCCACTTATACTTTGATGTCTTGTTCTGGAAGCAAGAGCTCACCTTGTTACCTCAGCACCACTGACTTTATCATCCTTTATAAACTTATTACTCGTATTCAGCAGGCCATCTACTGATCCTATGTAGATTGTATTTGTTGATATAGTCATGTATGAAACCATTGTTATGAATAAAATTCAAATCTTAACTGATTTGAAAAATATAAAATATTTATGGAGTTTTATTTTCATTTCTTCATCTAAAGGATAAAGTAGTTGAATACAGTGGGAAATAATTCAGATCTGAACGGTACAGTAATAGTTGTATATGTTTTTTTTTAAATCGAAATTTTAAATGAATCATTAACTGTTGTAACTTCGGTATCCAGTCTTCATGTCTCTGGACATATTCACAACAGAAGCAGGTTGGGTACTGAGCAGTTATTGTGGGGACATTTACTTTTTCAATATATTTTACATTGGGATATCTAATTAATCACACCGGTCCAAAGAGAAAGTAAAGATCCATTAGGATGTAGTGTAAGTCCTTCAGTGTCAACTCTATATATTTAAAGATATCTCAATAACCACAAGGTCAAAGGTCATGTTTTTTCAGCAAAAGGAATACTGGGATGAAAGACTTTAATGCAAATTGTTTACCTACAAACGACTTTTAGTAACTAAAATACTTTGGATGCAAATATTTTGCGAGGGGAATGACCTTTGCCTACTTTCCAGATAAAAGAGGTCAAACGGTTATTTTCTGATTAACCAAAGGGACAGTTTTTGTGACAGTTTGCTGGAGGAATATAACACTGCAGTAAACGTAATCAAGTTAGTCAAATGAATAATCCATGTCACAACGGTCAAATAGGTAAACATTTTCGAACAAATTCTTCTGGATAACTAAACATCCAAAATTCATAATATTAGGCTAGTAGTATGCTTGGACGAATGCTATTATGTTTACTCGAATCAAGGACTTTTTATAAGGTCCCGAGGGTCAGATGTGTTAAACATTCTAATGTTGGCTGAATGAACAAGAATATGCCGGAATTAAAATTTTCAAGTTAGTACTTATGAATGACCTTGACCTTGGATAGGAAACGTTAAATAATCTTTCAGTGAATTTCTAGATTTGTTTATAGCCTTTAGTATAATGAGATAAATGCTACAGGTTTGTTCAAATTAATGTCCACAATCCACTTTTCAGGTCACGTAGTCACATGTTAAATCTTAAAATCTGAGAATAACCATAAGGCACAGGGACATGATAATTTAGCCATAGCATGCTGGATGCAGGACAATCATATAATGTGTTACCACTTCCTGCATAAAGACAACATATGTTCAAGTTTGGCGTCGACCATTCATCCGTCGTTCTTTGCCGGCCGTCCGGAAATAACCGTTTTCAATAAACGACATGTAAATAACCACATATATATGTATTCTGACTGATGGTTTCCAACAAAGGTCAATAGACTTAATTTCCTGTAAATACCTTCATTGAAGATTTACAAAAGGAAACTCGGGAAACGTATCTGGGGTCGTTATAGGTTACTTATTTCCGTGAACAATGTCGATCTAAAGAGTAGAAAATATTGCTGTACAAGAAAATAATTCTCATGTGAGATGATACTAAGCATATATTTCGGACATAGTATCGTTTCGACGTGTATATGAAGATTGAAAAAAAAAAAAAAAAAAATTGAAAATCTAACATTACAGAAAGGAACACATAAAAAATTCATATGACTGAGACATCATAACATGTTTATTATAGATTTGACATCATTAGAGCTACGTATTGTAGATTTAACACCATCCAGTTATGTATTGTAAATATGACAACATTAAAGTTATGTACTGTACATTTGACAACATTAGAGTTATGTGTTGTACATTTGACAACATTAGAGTTATGTATTGTACATTTGACAACATTAGATCTATGTATTGTACATTTGACAACATTAGAGTTATATACTGTACATTTGACAACTTTAGAGTTATGTATTGTACATTTGACAACATTAGAGTTATATACTGTACATTTGACAACATTAGAGTTATATACTGTACATTTGACAACATTAGAGTTATGTGTTGTACATTTGACAACATTAGAGTTATGTGTTGTACATTTGACAACATTAGAGTTATGTATTGTACATTTGACAACATTAGAGTTATATACTGTACATTTGACAACATTAGAGTTATGTGTTGTACATTTGACAACATTAGAGTTATGTGTTGTACATTTGACAACATTAGAGTTATGTATTGTACATTTGACAACATTAGATCTATGTATTGTACATTTGACAACATTAGAGTTATATACTGTACATTTGACAACATTAGAGTTATGTGTTGTACATTTGACAACATTAGAGTTATGTGTTGTACATTTGACAACATTAGAGTTATGTATTGTACATTTGACAACATTAGATCTATGTATTGTACATTTGACAACATTAGAGTTATATACTGTACATTTACATTAGAGTTATGTGTTGTACATTTGACAACATTAGAGTTATGTGTTGTACATTTGACAACATTAGAGTTATGTATTGTACATTTGACAACATTAGATCTATGTATTGTACATTTGACAACATTAGAGTTATATACTGTACATTTGACAACATTAGAGTTATGTATTGTACATTTGACAACATTAGAGTTATATACTGTACATTTGACAACATTAGAGTTATATACTGTACATTTGACAACATTAGAGTTATGTGTTGTACATTTGACAACATTAGAGTTATGTGTTGTACATTTGACAACATTAGAGCTATGTACTGTACATTTGACATCTCTGGAGCTATGTATTTTACATTTGACAACATTAGAGTGAAGTGTTGTACATTTGACAACATTAGAGTTATGTATTGTACATTTGACAGCATTAGAGTTATGTATTGTACATTTGACAACATTAGATCTATGTGTTGTACATTTGACATCATTAGAGTTATGTATTGTACATTTGACAACATTAGAGTTATGTATTGTACATTTGACAACATTAGAGCTATGTACTGTACATTTGACATCTCTGGAGTTATGTTTTGTACATTTGACAACATTAGAGTTATGTACTGTACATTTGACATCTCTGGAGTTATGTACTGTACATTTGACATCTCTGGAGCTATGTACTGTACATTTGACAGCATTAGAGTTATGTACTGTACATTTGACATCATTAGAGTTATGTATTGTACATTTGACAACATTAGAGCTATGTACTGTACATTTGACATCTCTGGAGTTATGTTTTGTACATTTGACAACATTAGAGTTATGTGTTGTACATTTGACATCTCTGGAGTTATGTACTGTACATTTGACAACATTAGAGTTATGTACTGTACATTTGACATCATTAGAGTTATGTATTGTACATTTGACAACATTAGAGCTATGTACTGTACATTTGACATCTCTGGAGTTATGTTTTGTACATTTGACAACATTAGAGTTATGTGTTGTACATTTGACATCTCTGGAGTTATGTACTGTACATTTGACAACATTAGAGTTATGTACTGTACATTTGACATCATTAGAGTTATGTACTGTACGTTTGACATCATTAGAGTTATGTATTGTACATTTGACAGCATTAGAGTTATGTATTGTACATTTGACATCTCTGGAGTTATGTATTGTACATTTGACAACATTAGAGTTATGTGTTGTACATTTGACAACATAAGAGCTATGTACTGTACATTTGACATCTCTGGAGCTATGTATTGTACATTTGACAACATTAGAGCTATGTACTGTACATTTGACCGCATTAGAGTTATGTATTGTACAGTTGACATCTCTGCAGCTATGCATTGTAGGTTTATCAGCACTGGAGCTTATGTTGTTATTATTTTAACTAAGTTAAGTTGATTATAAGACTGGAAGGAAGCCGGATGCCTCGCATACTGTTGTATCAGCTACTGGTCAACACCTTTTGCGCGATATCTAGCCTATAGCTTGTATAATCCATTTTGCTTTCTTCGGTAGACACCATGGGGGTAAGTTGCCTGATCACCTTTGAATAGACAATAAATTCCTGACTTCATTTGGAATTTCGTCGATGTTTTCACATCTATCGTTGTCATCTATGTAGTAATTCATAAGTTAATTAAGAATGATTGCATCTTTTATCAGCAATGGCTGTCATGGTTCTTTGGTCGTCAGGACAAAACCAATACAAATAACGATGAAAAGGTAAGTGTTTCATCAAATAAAATTATTTTTAAATGTTTTGTATCTATACTTGTATCAACGTGGAATATTTATGACCCAGTAGCTAGGATACAGATAGAACCAGGTATCTACGTGGAATATTTATGACCCAGTAGCTAGGATACAGATAGAACCAGGTATCAACGGGGAATATTTATGACCCAGTAGCTAGGATACAGATAGAACCAGGTATCTACGTGGAATATGTATGACCCAGTAGCTAGGATACAGATAGAACCAGGTATCTACGTGGAATATGTATGACCCAGTAGCTAGGATACAGATAGAACCAGGTATCAACGTGAAATATTTATGACCCAGTAGCTAGGATACAGATAGAACCAGGTATCTACGTGGAGTATTTATGACCCAGTAGCTAGGATACAGATAGAACCAGGTATCAACGTGGAATATGTATGACCCAGTAGCTAGGATACAGATAGAACCAGGTATCAACGGGGAATATTTATGACCCAGTAGCTAAGATACAGATAGAACCAGGTATCAACGGGGAATATTTATGACCCAGTAGCTAGGATACAGATAGAACCAGGTATCTACGTGGAATATTTATGACCCAGTAGCTAGGATACAGATAGAACCAGGTATCAACGTGAAATATTTATGACCCAGTAGCTAGGATACAGATAGAACCAGGCATCAACGTGGAATATTTATGACCCAGTAGCTAGGATACAGATAGAACCAGGCATCAACGTGGAATATTTATGACCCAGTAGCTAGGATACAGATAGAACCAGGTATCAACGTGGAATATGTATGACCCAGTAGCTAGGATACAGATAGAACCAGGTATCTACGTGGAATATTTATGACCCAGTAGCTAGGATACAGATAGTACCAGGTATCTACGTGGAACATTTATGACCCAGTAGCTAGGATACAGATAGAACCAGGTATCAACGTGGAATATTTATGACCCAGTAGCTAGGATACAGATAGAACCAGGTATCTACGTGGAATATTTATGACCCAGTGGCTAGGATACAGATAGAACCAGGTATCATCGTGGAACATTTATGACCCAGTAGCTAGGATACAGATAGAACCAGGTATCAACGGGGAATATTTATGACCCAGTAGCTAGGATACAGATAGGACCAGGTATCAACGTGGAATATTTATATTAGGATATGACCAGGTATCCGTGGAATATGTATGACCCAGTAGCTAGGATACAGATAGAACCAGGTATCTACGTGGAATATTTATGACCCAGTAGCTAGGATACAGATAGTACCAGGTGGAACATTTATGACCCAGTAGCTAGGATACAGATAGAACCAGGAACATTTATGACCCAGTAGCTAGAACCAGGTATCTACGTGGAATATTTATGACCCAGGATGGAACATTTATGACCCAGTAGCTAGGATACAGATAGAACCAGGTATCAACGGGGAATATTTATGACCCAGTAGCTAGGATACAGATAGGACCAGGTATCAACGTGGAATATTTGTGACCCAGTAGCTAGGATACAGATAGGACCAGGCATCAACGTGGCATATTTATGACCCAGTAGCTAGGATACCGATAGAACCAGGTATCAACTTGGAATATTTAGAACCACAAATGTGCCGTTTATTCGGCAATGTAAGCTTAAATGTTATCCAGTCAACAATATTATCACCTGTTTGTCGTGACAATGTAGGGATTCCTAAAGCAGAATTATTTTAGAAGTGCAATACGAAGACCAATACTTTGGTAATACTATTTCTAAAGAACGTAAATATATAAATCAAATTCTGCCATTTTTATGGTAAAAACTACAACAATTATTTTGTATGATATGTTTAACTGGATGAAAATTACAGTGGTACCGTTGAGAATTAATAGACTGATTTCGTCCTCGGACAATTTCACCTCCACGGGTTTGATAAAACCAAACACCAACCTGGCGAAAATAACTAAATCACATTGTGGTATATGAGGAAATGTTTATTTTCAATATACACATTTATATATATATACACGAACTTTGACATAGATATAGGAAGTCTAATTCATGCTGAATAAGGAAAGCAACAAGATGTTGTTGTGATGCTGAGTAAGGAAAGAGAGAGGATGTCATGGGCTAAAGCTGGTATTTGTGTATACTTGTAAAGATAGTAGCAGACACCGTCTGTTGTCGTACTTACAATGTGGTAAAGAATTGTAATGGAAAATACCTACACTTCAGAACTCATCTAAAATTTCTTCTGATGACACGAGTCCAATTAGGGAAATCTTGATTGAATGTACAACTATTGTATATCGATCTCGATTTAAAAAAAATATTTGAAAGGCCTGCCTCTAAGATCTCATATGATGGTTGTGGTAGATCCCTTGATCAAGAAACACTTTTCCGTGCTTAATTTTTTTATCATTTCAGTGTATTAAATCGAAACCGACTTACGTGACGGATGATGGAAACAGCACATCTAAATCAGGAGAGCAGATACAGCAGGTTGTACATTTAGGCGAATGTCTGCATTTCTTGATAAATAACAAAGCTAAAAATAATCAGACTTTTACAATGTCCAAGTTGTTCATATCTTAAGACATTGTTGACTATAGGAAGTTCTGTTTAATTCTTTTTAAAAAAATGTTGTTGATCACTAATGTGGTGTAATAGGTCATTTTCTGTGAGACTTGCCTCATGCTACAATGCTCTACATGTCTGGTAAATCCATGAAGTATATGTTGCAGACTGAGTACAGGATTACTGTCACAACTATGGACCGGAAAGGTGCGGGAACCAACGCGAACGTGATGTGTGTCCTTCACAACGATCAGGGTCAATCGACTGGTACGATCGTTTTAAATGCGTTTTTGAAAAACGATTTTGAAAGAGGAAATACGGACGAATATCAGATAAACTCTACTCCACTAGAAAAAATAGATACGATAGAGATATGGCGAGATGACACGGCATTATCAACAAATGAGTGGTTTTTAGAGGTTATTAAAGTGTATTCTAAGGCATCCGACACAACGTATGTGTTCCCTTTCCTACGTTGGATCAAGGAACACTATCGTTACAAAATTCGTCATCTCGATACATCGTTACCACAAGATGATCCTAACAAGGAACAAAGACGTATGGAGCTAAATGACAAAAAAGAGGCATACCAAATGGAGGTGAAGGTCCCCGGTCTCCAGATACAGGTAATAAACGACAGACAAGGCAGAGGTCAAGGTCCACGGTCTTCAGATACAGGTAATAAACGACGGACAAGGCAGAGGTCAAAGTCCCCGGTCTCCAGATACAGGTAATAAACGACAGACAAGGCAGAGGTCACGGTCCCCAATCTTCAGATACAGGTAATGAACGTAATACACCGCAGAGGTCAAGGTCCCCGGTCTTCAAATACAGGTAATAAACGTAATACACCGCAGAGGTCAAGGTCCACGGTCTTCAAATACAGGTTATGAACAAGAGGCAAGGCAGAGGTCAAGGTCCATGGTCTTCAGAGAAAGGTAATGAACGTAATACATAACAGAGGTCAAGGTCCCTGGTCTTTAGATACAGGTAATAAACAACAGACAAAGCAGAGGTCAAGGTCCCCGGTCTTCAGATACAGGAAATAAACGATAGACAAGGCAGAGGTCAAAGTCCCTGGTCTTCAGATACAGGTTATGAACAAGAGGCAAGGTAGAGGTCAAGGTCCCTGGTCTTCATAGAAAGGTAATGAACGTTATACACAACAGAGGTCAAGGTCCATGGTCTTCAGATACTGGTAATAAACAATACACAAGAGAGAGGACAAGGTTTCCCAGTCTTCATATATGGCAATAAATGACCTAAATAGAATATTTGCTAGCTTACCAAAGTTAGTAGGCGACCTATAAAGAAACGGTCCGTGACTTCCGATATTAGAAACATTCTACAAGATAGAGGGTATGGATATGGGACTAACTATACAGTTGAATTTAAACAAACAAACATACAAGAAAGATTTAATGTTAAAGAACTTCCGATACAAGTAACATCAAACCTACTTGAGAGGAACAGTTTATGGTACTAGGACTGTCTATACAGGTAACACCAAACCTACCAGAGAGAAAGAATTAATGGTACTAGGACTGTCTATACAGGTAACACCAAACCTACCAGAGAGAAAGAATTAATGGTACTAGGACTGTCTATACAGGTAACATCAAACCTACTAGAGAGAAAGAGTTTATGGTACTAGGACTGTCTATACAGGTAACACCAAACCTACTAGAGAGAAAGAGTTTATGGTACCAGGACTGTCTATACAGATATTATCAAACCTACTAGAGAGAACGAGTTTATGGTACTAGGACTGTCTATACAGGTAACATCAAACCTACTAGAGAGAAAGAGTTTATGGTACTAGGACTTCCTATACAGGTAACATCAAACCTACCAGAGAGAAAGAGTTTATGGTACTAGGACTGTCTATACAGGTAACATCAAACCTACTAGAGAGAAAGAGTGTATGGTACTATGACTGTCTATACAGGTAACACCAAACCTACTAGAGAGAAAGAGTTTATGGTACTAGGACTGTCTATACAGGTAACACCAAACCTACTAGAGAGAAAGAGTTTATGGTACTAGGACTGTCTATACAGGTAACACCAAACCTACTAGAGAGAAAGAGTTTATGGTACTAGGACTGTCTATACAGGTAACATCAAACCTACTAGAGAGAAAGAGTTTATGGTACCAGGACTGTCTATACAGGTAACATCAAACCTACTAGAGAGAAAGAGTTTATGGTACTAGGACTGTCTATACAGGTAACATCAAACCTACTAGAGAGAAAGAGTTTATGGTACCAGGACTGTCTATACAGGTAACATCAAACCTATTAGAGAGAAAGAGGTTATGGTACTAGGACTACCTATACAGGTAACATTAAACCTACTAGAGAGAAAGAGTTTATGTTACAAGGACTGTCTACACAGGTAACACCAAACCTGCTAGAGAGAAAGAGTTTATGTTACAACGACTGTCTATACAGGTAACACCAAACCTACTAGAGAGAATAAAGAACTTAGTAGCATACATTCTTCAACAGAAAGGTTATTGTTCTAAGCTATAGGTTGTCCAAGAACTATTGTTGGCTCAAACCAACTCGGATACAAATATAATTACAGGGTTTAACTTCTAAGTGGTCTGATGGTATTCTGTAAATCGTAATTAACTGAAACCTTCTAGCATTGAATTCGTGCCTTCTTCAGGCGTGGTTAAAGACATTCCTTTTGGACCACATATTTATCTTACCTGTTATATAAACTATCGTCTTGGATTTTCAGGCCAAGGAGATCCCGGATGACGAACATTTTTCATTCGATTATAAGGTAAATGCCAATATTGTTAAATCATTATCATACCGTTACTAACATTATTGTTAATTCATCACCATACTATTACTGACAATATTATTAATTCATTATCATACTATTGTTGACAATATTGTTAATTCATCACCATACTATTACTGACAATATTGTTAATTCATCACCATACTATTATTGACATTATTGTTAATTCATTATCATACCGTTACTTACAATATTGTTAATTCATTATCATACCGTTACTTACAATATTGTTCATTTATTCTCCTACCATAACAGATAATTCGTTCAATAGATTACTTTGCGATTACTGACAGTATTGTTAATTCATTATCGCACCATTACTGATATTAAATTTGAATTTATTCGTTAAAAAAATCAGGAACGGAGAATCTTTTAAAGTTCACTGATCGGTTGATATATTTTTTCAAAATTTTCTACCTCAAGTTTATATGATTATAACTTGTCTGTGCTTGTGATGTTTGGTTAATCGCACGTCTGTGTTTACACTCTTGTCTATTGTTTCGTTCTGAAATCGGTTCGTGCAATGTTAACGTCGAGTCGACTTTTTTTCTTTATGCAGTTTGACATCCTTGCGCAGGCTGCAGGGTTGACTGTTACCGGCAAGATTGTGGAAGTGACAAGTGGAAGATGGGAAGACCTTGATGACCTTTCAAACATCTATTTACCAACAGTCTTCACTAAACCATCAGTAAGTATCTGGCGAGAGATCAGCATTTATAACCTACCTCGAATTAAAAAGGTTTCCTTTAAAGGGCTAGATTTCAACTGGCAATACAATATCATACATCATTAAAACAATTTTGATTTTAAACACACTACCGGGGAATGGAGAGCATTCATGGTAGTATTGAAAACACATATATGTAAAGATGTAACTTAATTACCTGTAAGATATAAACAAAGATGTCGTACATCTATCTACATGGTTTATAACTGGAGGTGTCTTTTATGCTCCACCTGTATCAAGCTAATAGTAAAAGATCACATTGTAGTCACCTAGTTGATAGATAATCCAAAATCAGGACGACACTTGTAAAAGGTGAGAAAGTTATTCTATGTCTAGGACTCGAGCTAAGGAAGACTGCTTTATATACAATATTCTGTCATGGTCGGACCCTATCATACCAATCTGGTTGTTTATGTAAGGGCGTTCAACGGATTTTGCTACAATACTTCGTCTTACAGAGATGTCCTGACATCATAGACCTAAGCATATGCTATATATAAATTCTCGTACCTTTCTCATTGTTTTTATTCATAAATGTAAACATCTGCAATAATCCTTGCATTCCAGCCGCTAGCAAACAAAACCTGGGACACTGATGAACACTTTGGCTTTCAACGAATTGGTCGAATCCACAATACCCTGATTAGTCTCTGTACTGAGATACCAAACAAGTAAGGACTTTCTAACAGTACTATTACAATAACCCTTATTAAACTTTGTAGTAAGATCCAGGTAGCAGGTACTTTAAGCACTACGGATTAATTTAATTTAACATTTTTCACCAGTTTATGGATATTACTCCTACGTAGTCTATGAAAATAGGTCACCGAGGATACATATAACTGAGAAAACGATCTAAGATCAGTTGGTTCACAATCATTTGATAGTATTCCATTACAAGCATTTGATAAATACTTGTCTGTGGTTTAGTCCACTTATCGCCTCAGTTGTATTGATCTTGAAAGGAAAAAGTCGGTGAGTTGTTAAATAACTATGATCTAGGAAAATCTATCGTTGACAACTTTGAATAGACGCTAAAATTAGAAATATGTTTCCTTGGATCCTGTTCTTTTGTGGTGTCTCGAAACACTGACGTTTTTGTCACTTTCTCCTAAATGATATCGCTTTCTCCTCATATGTTAATGATTTTCACTGATTTTTCAGGTAGTAATATTTTCACTGTCCTCAGATGCTATTTTCGCCCCGTTATCATGATTTTACCGGTTCGCAGATGACAATTTTTTAACTGTCTCTACGGTTGCTAACTTGTCCCTTCTCGGGTGTTTTCTGTCCCTACCAGTCTCAGCCTTTATAGTTTGGTGAGCAGATCATCATTTGTATTTTTTACATTTAGAGTGTTACATTCCTACTTATGTCTTTAAAATCAGATATGAGACCCGAGTATCCCGATGGTACAAGTAGATTGTTTTGTAATTTCTCTTATGTATGAGGTTACACGATGAGTGGTTGTTGTACATGGTATTTATTTCACTCGAATTATGAAATGTTTTGTAATATTTGAAAAATAACTAAAAGAAATATCGAATACAATAACTAGAGTTTGTGTGATCTGTTTCTTCCATAAAAGACCTATTCCAGCGATGAAATGACCTGTTATATACCCACATGTACTTTCTTTACAATAACAGTCAGGGCGTAATAAGATGACCTGTAGAGAAAAACTGCTAATTAATATGCAAAAACTGACCATGTCGGAAATATATGTTGAATTATGATTTATATATATAGTGTTATAGGAATCAATTGGTTAATTATCTTCAATAATTGGATAAACTTCCAGTTAAAAAAGAGACTATCACAAAACAACTGCGAACCTTTTTTTACAGTGCTGCAAATGTTGCTGACGTGTATGTTAAAACACCATAAATAGATCCCCCCAAAATAACTGGATTCAATTGTGTTCCAGCAAATCAAAACACCTTCAGAGTATACTTGACGTATGGATTAAATGTTGTCGTCTACACCACAATTGCAATGATTTTTTGATTCCTTAGGAGTTGAATTTAATATGGTGGTATTATTTCAGATTGGCAGTCACTGACGAAATGCTACAACCTTTCCTGGAGGGCCAGACTGTACAGGACGTAATATCACAGAAAAACCTTTTCTTTGTAGATTTGGAACTGCAAGATGGGATACCGACCAAACCTGGATTTACAGTTGAGTGGTTTAGTTAAAGCAATCGATAGTTTTTTGTTTGTTTTTGTTTTTGTATATAATATCATCACTGACGAAAAGATATCTAATCGTAACATTTTAACGTTTCTGTACGTCTTATTTAAACACTATAACCGTTTTCCCCAATATTTCTAAAGATAACAGAAAAAAAAGATTTGAAAGAGAAAATATCAACAATGATACTTAAGTCGATAAGAATTGATTGATCGGCGAAAAAACAAACGATAGGAAATCAATAATCAGTCGCATCCAGCATTATACGTTCTTGGCAATAGAATATATACTCAACAAAAAAAGAAAGGTTAACATATTTCCTTGGCGAATACCTGTAAATGAGTGAAAACAAAATGACGTTTGTGCAATATTAGAAAATGATAAGCGTGAAAGTCTGTATTAGCGGAAGAGCTGCACGAGGTTTTCTAACTTGTATCTTCGCTTGAATTTCATAAACATTCAAACTGACAACTGTTCCTTAGATCCTTAGGACTTAGAAATCACCAAATCTTGCTATCTATCAACTTTATCATTATGCCCCGGCTGTCACAAGTACAGAGAGAAAGGGCTGTAGGCATGATCCAGGCTGGGGAGTCTCGCCGTCGAGTTGCACGGCATTTTGGTTGCAGTGTTAAGACAATTTGCCAGTTGGTAAGTCGTTTAAACATCAACATCCGATCGTCCCCGAAGCGGCCGACCCCGTAAAACGACCGCCAGGGATGACCGTCGTATACGATTGATACACTTGCGCAATCGATTCGTAACCGCAGTAGAGACTACAAGGACATTGTTTGGGCGTCGTGTGTCTCCCCAAACAGTCTGCAACAGGTTGAGGGCCTACCAGTTGAAAGCGCGGCGTCCCTACACTAGACCCAATTTGTTGCGACGTCACCGTAATAATCGGCGTAACTGGACCCGTGTTCACCGTCGTTGGGCCTTACGACAATGGAACAATGTTCTGTTTTCAGATGAGTCCAGGTTTTGTCTGCAACACGGTGACGGAAGGCGCAGAAGGTGGAGGCGACGAGGGAAGCGTTTTGCGAACTGCTGCGTTGCAGAACGGGACCGCTTTGGCGGCGGAAGTGCAATGGTTTGGGGTGGTATTTGTGGGGGACTCGTACCAGGCTTGTTGTGTTAAATGGCAATTTAACCGGCATTCGATATCGGGACGAAATTTTAAGACCAGTGGTTCTGCCATTCTTAAGACGCCATGGCGTTAGCGCCATTTTTCAACTGGATAACGCACCAGCGCACACCAGTCGCGTCAGCAGAACTTTCTTGCAGCAGAATAACGTACAGGTGTTAGATTGGCAATCTAAATCACCTGATTTGTCACCGATTGGGCATGTCTGGGACGCTCTTGGGCGACGCGTGAGAAAACGTCAAAATCAGCCGTAAAACTTGCAGGAGCTGGCCCAAGCCTTGATCGCTGAATGGAACAACATCTCTCCTCGAATTATCCGCCGGTTTACGAGTTCCATGCGACGACGCTGCAATGCTGTTTACTTTTATGAAGGGGTTAATTAATTAATCACAGAATAAAGTAGTGTTACCTTTCTTTTTTTGTTTAGTATATATTGCGACGAGCTACATTCCTCAATGTTGATGGAAATTTTTACGATCTACATTCTATGTGGGTGGATGATGGGCAGTATTGCGATGATTTCAGGTTAAGGGGATTGTTCTGTAACAGGCTCATGGGCTTTTTTGTATACCTTTATGGTCGGCTTCAAAACAAACGTTGAGAACTCAGTAAACTTATAATGTCGATCGGCCATGGCATTTTCCTATATAGATGGTACGGCATATGGTTTTTCCTTACCTTCGTCGTCTTTCGTCAATAAATAATTAACTGTAGAGATGTTATCAACAGAAAACAACAAGTGCAACTAATTATCACAAAACTCACCGGCAACAGCCATTTCAAAAATGCAAAACACATAAGGACCTGCTAGATCTTGGATTATAAGTTTGCAATGTCATATACATATTGACTCAAAAGTAAATTATATTATTTTTTTATATATTAATATATATCAAAAACAAAACAAGCGTTTTAAATAATTCGACATTTAAAAAATAAACCAGAAGGAAAGAGAAACAAAGTAATTGGAATGGGCGCCGACGCGGACGCCGTTATCGAAGCACGAATTTACTGTTATTTGTTGTTTGTGAGCTAAAAAGGGCAGGATAGAAATGAAAATTAAGTCTAGATCTGAAGACTTCTGAGTTATGTATACTGTACATTTTTGTAACATCTCAAGTATTTCTCTCTCTGAAAGGTGTGTGCCCCGATTGCATTATTTTACCATAACAAGCAGTCGAAACTGGTTCCAATAGCGATACAACTAAAGCAACAGCCTGCTGATGATAATCCGGTGAGTAAAATAAATGTATAAATTATTTACCTGTATTTGGCAATGTGTAAGGAACAGCCTTTAAATCATTTACTATAAAGTAAACGTATACAGTACCTTAAATGTATTTACAACCTAATAATGCCTTACATCTCTAGATAATCTTTTACCGAGAGAAAATAGTGGTTTTCATTGTATACAGTATATGATCAATGCATTAATATTTATATTTTACAATGTATTCATATTTATATTTTACGATGAATTCATTTTTGTATTTTACGATGCATTAATATTTGTAATATTTGTCAAAAAGTATAGCAACATGTCCTTCTTCATTAAACTGTTATAGAAGTTCATTGAAGAAATAAAACTATGCGAAGTAATTTATTTGAGATCTTTGAATTTAGCCATGTGTATTTAAGGTTAGAGCACAACAGCAGTTTGATGCAGGTTATTTGACTCTACTGTAGGTAATTCTGAATTTGTATTGAAAAGTGTTATTCACTTACGTGTCTTTTGCACAACTTTGTTGTAGGTTTTCCTGCCCTCCGACCCACCATACACGTGGTTATTCGCCAAGATGTGGTACAACAATGCAGACACATGTTACCACCAGTCCGTCGCACATCTCGGTTTGGCAGTTTACGATATTTTGCTTTTTTCATACCCTTTCCGAACAACTCTTTATCTCTGTTGTTTTTCAGAAGTGTTCGTGTATATATTTCTTTCTTTTGTTCGTTTCCTCGAATTTGAATTAAGATTCTGTTCACATGTCCGTATTTTTTGTGTCGTTTGAGTCAATATCGTACATAGAAATCATTTTAATTTTAAGATAAAATAGCTTTAAAGATATTATCTCTTTTATAGGTTTCACACACTTGATAATGGAGGGATGTGTCCTTGTCACCCATAGAAATCTTTCTCATTCCCATCCGATATTCAAATTGTTGGCGCCGCACTTTATCTATCTCTTGGCAATTAATGGGTAAGGAAATGCTAATGTATCAGATCTGTTAAGTACAGTTAGCAGTTTGAAGGTCTCCTGGCCAAAACGAATATTTTTATAGAGAAATTGTTTCAAATTGACATGATCAAGATTATTCAGAATATACCTGACGGCTCACTCTTCATTCCTTTGATGTATAATACTGTGTAACGTAACTACTTCATGCATTATCTTGCTTCATTCAATATCACGCTGTCGGAACCAAAGAGTACGCGGAAAAGTCTAGCCTACTTAGAATGAGTGATAGTACGCGTGTAATTATGTCTGTATGATCATTTGGTACAATGTTACACGTGAATCATATGCATATATCAATATATAAGTGCATAGGTGTAAGAGAAAGATTGATAAAAATATTAACGACAGGTTGTGGTGTTTTTCTAGGAAGTCATAATCACATATCCAGTCAGTGCTATGTACTGAAAGACAACAGGATATTTAACGAACAATACCTCGAATTAGTGATGAATTAAACTGCATCATGCAGCTGTTTCCCTTTTCTAGACTTGTCAGTGATGATGAATAAAACAAATGTGCTTAAAACTGGTTTTTTTCCCCAGAACAGTTGGCTGTTAAAATTGTAGTTTACTGCACATGAGTCAGTTTAAACTGTATATTATTCAATATACGACAATGACAAAATCATTCATCGATGAACAAAGATGTGCATAAGTATAAGGTAATATCGATTCATCTCCTTATTATTATAACCTGTAAGTAAGATGGTATGACGTGTATTGTTGTCTGTTTTCTGTAGCAGTAATCCGGGATTCTAGGAGGGGAGGCTTCTAGTTAATTTTCATGCGAAAAGGTTAAGGGATTCATTTTATATATTCCTTGAAAATGTGTATTGTTTATTTTCCACTTTTGCATATTTTTACTGGGAAACATTTCATTATATCTGCATTCGAGAGAATGACTGAAAAATATCATTGTAATGTCACTTAATGTTTAAAATTATAAAACGCAAAATCACATATTGCATAAAATAAGATTTAGCAGGTGATTCCAATTCATAAATCTGTTAAAATGTGATGTTATTGAAATAAAAATAGTCAATACACATTCATTATAAAAAACTGAACAAGGATCTATTAAAAATATGATATTCGCTGCTGGTACAGTGTCTTTTTTCTGGAAAAAACAATTACTGGTACAAATACAAAACTGACTACCGTCACAGTTACATTAGAGGACGTAGATAAAATTACATTGTTTTTTACATGTATATTATTTTTGTGTCTTATTCTTTTCTAAGTTATATTGATTCTTATAATTTCATTTATCATTATCATAAAAAATTACAAATATCACTATTTAACGCATAACGTCTGTCGCTGTAACTCTTTTTCTGACCATTGTTTTCAGAAATAGATTCTTTAATCTTGAACTTGCAGAATAATAGGATAAATCATCAATAAATCTCATATCCCTGAAAACATATCAACTGTCCTTAGGCCAGAGCTTAAAAAGTTCATGCTTGTCATCACTGTACATTAATTATTTTTCTTACTGCTTTTCTGACCAGTAACTACTTTTTTGTATAGAGTTCTGTTCAGACAATACGTAAACAATGGCGAGGTATAAAAACAGGAAAAGGGAAAAGAACTTGAACGAATATACCACAATATTAATTGTATAAATGCTTTTTCGTGTAGTTACGATAGATTAATTGTCATTTTTGTGTTGTGATTTATGATATTTCCTTTGTTTCCTTTTAAGATTAGCACTGGAAACACTAATCAACCCGGGAGGTTCAATAGATAAAGTGATGGCCAGTGGAATTGATGGAGTCTTCGAACTAATCAGTCGAAAGTACGTGTGGCTGAGATGATTCTGGGCCTAGTCCTTTAAATATATATATAGATGTTTTTTTCTATTATCTAACCTATCAAAATGAGACCTAACTTGCTCTTGTGTCTCCTGTGACCCGTGACCCTTTGTACAATTGAAAGACCAAGAGCGATATTATTGTTTGTTGGGATCTCGTGTAACAAATCAAACATGAAAGTCCCTTCGTAGATATCAACGGTGTCCAGTTAAAAGGTCCATTATTAATGTAATTAAAGTGTTTTAAATGTTCGTTTTGAAAATGTAGGCAGGTCGTCAATTACGAAAATCTTAATGGAAATCATAGATGTAAACATTTCACTAAAGATTCTAAATAGTTCATGTTAATTAGATAATTTCGATCAAGTTGGTCCACACTTTCCTATAAATCCAGGTCAATTTTGTTACTGACAAAAGGTTATTTCCAACATTTCAACAAAATAATTTAAAGAAAGCAAACATGGAGTTAGGAATGTTGTCGTGAACAGAATGAAACATTCATCGTAAAATAACTCTTTTCATGTAATCAAGCATCAGTTGTTTGATCAATTTAAAACTATATCTTATGAGACACTCAATACACTAAAATCGTAACGTTTTTTTCTGCTTTTTATAAACGATTGTTCTTAAATCGATTTAGCAATTGTCATATTCTAGCACTCATATTTGATTTTCCCTTCGTTCGCTTTCCATATGAAGTTGTTTTAAGTGATGAGGCTATAGAATTAGAAATAAAATTTCTATGTACAGAAGTGTCTGATTAGCAACCAACACATGATGCTTACGTTTTTGCTACAGGTTGGCGGTATGGCGGTTAGACGAGGATGGGACACTGCCAGTACACCTAGAGAAGCGAGGGGTATATACATCTCTTATCCATATACCTGTTGATACACCATCTCAACAATAAATCAGTAGTGTTCGTTCTGACCTCTATTTGTTATTGTTAATTGCATATATATCGTACAAAAGACGATCTTGATAATTAAAACACTTTTCAATACCAACTTGTGAATATATACCGTAAAGCCATATAATGAATTATACTGCTTCATAATACTGCTATTTCGTCGCTGTAGGATTCGAAAGTAATGCTAAGGGCCTGGCTTTCAAATGCAATGGAATATAGCTTTGTATGTCCAGGTAGTACAATCACATAACCTTTATTCAATAGATAAAAAAATATTCCCTTCGAAGTGATCCTAACTAACAACGTTATATTTACAAACAGGTGCTGGACCCATCCGTACTGTGTGGCTACCACTATAGGGATGACGCCTTACCGCTGTACTATGCCATTAAACATTACGTCACGAAATACGTCAGACTCTACTACGGTTTGTAAAATATAGATTAAATAATTACTGTTCCATTAACACTATACATCATTTGGAAACATCTGAACTACAACAATGTGCTTGTAGATCATTCTGTTTCTTTTCCCCCATATCGCTCTTTCGCTAAAAATGTTCTTAATAATTGAAAGTGTTTGATACATCTCTGAAAGGCAATATTTTAATACTGAAATTCGTGATATATAAAGATAATAGAAAGTAAATAAACTGACTGTCGTGGTAAACCTACATTGTAAGAAACGTTGTAGTTTTTTTCATCACAATAACGTTATTCTTCATATTTCATTCCGTCAAAAATAAGAGAAATATTTACAACGACGGTCAAAGAAATCTATGTGACAGATACTAACACGATATATATTATGTAGGTGGTAATTAGGTCAACTTATAATTGGAAGTTTCTGGGAAGGAGTTTTAGTTCGATATATATTTGTGGAAGTAACGACATGTCAGATGTGCTCGAAATGGATTTGTATCGTTTTCAACAAAGTTGAACGGATTTGGAAATTGCGTTTCATATTTTGTTTAAGATAGCAAATGTCACGATGAATACACAATGAAACAAAATCATTAGAATTGGAATTCAGGAGGGTGTTCATCCAACTCAATGCATTCTCTGTTATCAAAACTTCAACTTCATTGACTACAAAAATCTTATTCAAATCAGATTTATGATTGTACTCTTTTATTTTATCTTTGTAACATACAGATCATACCCTCATTGCTAAAGGTCGTTTGTTACTGAATAAGATTTCTTTATCTAATGTTTAAAACAGTACCGAAAGGTCAATCATTTAAAATATTACATGTATATACTGGTCCATACACAAAATTACAAACCGTTTCTTTTTTACGGTGGCATACATGTAAGTCAATATACTTTTGTTAAAAACACGCACATCTTTAAACAAATATAAGAAATTAAGCCAACCTCATGCAAACATAAGGCCAGCAACCAATTGTGTCGATGGAACAAACCCACTCTTCAGAGCACACACCATTTCAAGTGGTATTCAGCCATTTCAGTTATATTGTGTATTAATATTCTATTGTTCTTTGTATTGTTCTCATTTGTGAACGTGACATTACTTACTTTACTTGAATAAGATTTACATGACCTAGGTTGAATGCCTTATCTTTTTTCCTTGTACTTTATCAAGAGCCTCGGTCTCAATCTTTCCAACATGTTCTAATATTGCTTTTATTTAATCGAATTTGACTTTGAATTAAGATTGTGTTAACATGTCGGCATTTGTTCGTTGTTTTAGTTAGCCCTGAAACATATGCTGCGGATCATGAGATCCAGGCCTGGGCCCAGGAACTTGTAAAACCTCGGACAGAGGGAGGATGTGGCATTCTGGTACGTATGAAGTATTCCCACTATCGTATTGAAGCAAACGTACAAAACAATGCATTGGTTGCAGTAGAAACTAGTATACTATAGCTTCCATGAAATTTTGAAGGCAACACGATGAACGATGAGTTTCCATTTCTAATTTTCAGGGTGTTCCCGGCGATGGCAGTATCAACGGTGAACCTGATCTTGTTACTATACTGACCAGTATCATTTTTACGGTCAGTGTAAGTCATGCTGCGGCCAACTTTGCCCAATACGATGTGTATGGTTTTCCACCTAATTACCCAATGACTCTAGAAGGAACGCCTCCTGTAGACAAGGTAATATGTACAGAACTAAATGACGTAGCATACTCATATAAAGATATGTGTAAATAGGTACAGACATATCTGAAGATAGATAGCTCATACAATCTTCCACATCAATGAAATCCATGATGCATGTTCATGATGAAATCATTGAAAATGTACATGTATATTAATGTAATGTTTAAAACAATTAATGATGATTTTTTCGATACTCGTCAGTTGACATTAGTAAACAATCGAAGAATGCCAATAACAAAATATGCAAAGCTATTTATATATAGTGTTTGGATAGAAATATATTTGTGTAAGAGCGAAATGAAAAATCTTATTGAGAGTGTGAGAAAACTAATACTAAACATATAATTTAGAGATAATCCTGTAGTTCGATTTCTCTTGTGTCTGAAGCATATACATTTTGTACATAATTACGTCCTTAGCCTCTAGTTTGTCATTTTAGGTTCATTTACAAAAAGGAGAAGCAAGAAGAACGTTCATAACTTTGTCAACTTTCTTTTCACATATCCTATTATTAATATCAGATTCTTAACCACCTCTCAATTACTGAAACACACGAATGCAATTAGCTGTCTAATATTTGAGTATAAGTAAGTTTCAAATTCCCGTATTGTCGTTTTTATTAATGTCTGGACTTCTGGAACACTTAATTTATTGGTGACCTTCCTACCTGTAAGGAATAACACTAACTGACCGCATTGGACATCCTTACTTGTTATATAGACTTCATTTGGAGCGATGCATTCTACGAATCTGGCCAATTTCGGCCTCTTTGGTGGACAAAAACGTTTACTCCATTGTTTCACTATTTAATTCTTAATTTGTGTTGAAAAGTGTTATGTCTTTTAAACAATCTTACTTAAATGCAGTAAGTCGAAACGGCCAGATGACTTCCTCTCAAGAACAATCATGATCCTTTTCATTGTATTCAAACTGTCAGGTATCAATACAATATTTCATTCCACATTAGTTATGTTGAAAATATATTCACATTCACTAATAGACCATATCATCCCCTCCCCAAATAGTGTAAAGGGTTCCTTATGTTGACTTAGCGATTTATTGGTATAATTTTGATGAATATACTTAAATTAATTAAAGTTGAAAAAGTAATTTGTAGATCATCATAGGTGTGTTGTGAAGCACCTTATTAAGATTTTCCTAGCACCGGTTTCAGAAAAAGAAAAAAAATGTTAAAGTAATTCTTGTATACTAATACGCAGTTCAGTCTCCAGTCTCACCAAAGTTTCATTCTTTCGGACGAAACATTCTGTATTAACTCATATATTTATTTGAAATTAAATATATTACATCGTATTATTGTAAGGAAGATTCTTACCAAAACCGATTTAAAATGACTAGTGAAGTAGTTCTAGTAGAGGTGACAACATGAATTTCGGAATATTGATTTTTAAGGTTTAAAGCTATACCCTGAAACAGTTTCCCATTTGGAGTGTAGCGACAATCAAATCAACTGCATTTTGAAGATTTATTATCATTTGCGGTCATTTTAAGTTGTGTTTATTTCGTTATTTTTAATCCTTTTAGTTGATTTAAGACTGTCTTATTGTAATCCGGGCGATTTATTGAATAGACTCCTCTAACGGAAGCCGCCATCATCGATGCTCTACCTGATAAAAATGCCACTTTTGATGCGTTGACTCTTGTCAAAATTCTTAGTGGCATGGGAACAAACAAGCTAGGGGATTTCGAGGTCAAATACGTGTACGATCCAAAGGCGGAAGAGGTCGTGAACGAGTAAGTACTCGGAAAGCAATGTATCTCTTGTTAGGGAAATTCTCCGTATTTCTAAATTACATGTCTTTAAAATATACTTATTTATTTTTGTAATTATATCATTTTAATTCATATCGTTTGATTAATTCAAATGTCTATGTCATCGATATACCTTATCATAGATAAAACTGGTTCAAGTGCACAGCCAAATAACCAGCTTCAACTGCCTAATTGTGCATGCCTCATACCACAAGTAATTTTCGTTAGGGTTCGAACCCGGAATCACTGGATTACTAGTATAACGCTCAACCGATCGAGCTAAATAGAAGTTCTCTGTGGCCGAGCATAATATTACGGCCAGTACTTTAACAGACGGACCGATAGATGGGTGGTTGAATGTTGGGAACTGAATACATCTCTTTGTCTGAAGCATACAGAGTTATAGACATTTGACGTGTGTTTCTTGGTTTGAACAAGCCACAATCTCGTCAAAATACCTTTACAGCGCTATGTAATTTTTCATAATATTTTATTGTCATGATTTTTACTGACAAAAGGATTGGGCAACAGGCATAGCCTAGAAAAGCCCTCTACTTGCTATTATAGACAAATATACACACCAGTCAGATAACGATTGATAAATATTAAACACATTGATAAATACTAAAAACTAACATTTTAGTGGTCAAAATATCACTCAATGACTGGGACAAGAATCAGTCCGAAAGTCGATTTGCAAGGAAGGCAGCAAAAACAAACTACCCATACATTACTGTTTCATAAGGGACAAAGGGATCGACAACAGGTAACATTGTGTTAGTAATAATAAATTTCATATTGTCAATATCACCTTGTAAATGGTTATTCCAGTCAACTGTACTAAGAAAGTTATTTGCTCCATTACATTTGGTATTTTGGAAATAGAAAAGGGTTTTCCTGTAAGCATGCTTTGTGGTGGTTTTAAGCAAGCACTAACAGGGCAGTAGTCACTACGGGAAGGAGGGAGAACAGAGGCATTATTAACAAAGTTTACATTATAAGTAACCAGGATATCAAGTGATGTTGAAGATTGTGGAGAAATCCTTGTTGGTTCAGTTTTAGTATATTGTAAGCAATATTTTAATAACAGCCTGTGAAAATGATAATTACATCCCCCATCAGAATGACTTTCCTCTGTAATATCAGCAAGGTTATTTTCAAGTTTGGCCAATAATCAATTAGTAAGTTTGGAGTTCTGTAGATACAGCCAATAAGAATAGGCATATTATGTTTGGTTACCTCGACCCATCGGAGTTTGAGGTCATCAAACTCAAAATCAAGTCTTCGATTAATATTAAGATTATTTTCAGAACAGATGAGCACCCCACCACCACCACCACCACCACCACCACCACAATAAGCTCCATCCTTTCCGCAAATATTCCCGTTTTTTTTCAAGTGATATATCATAATCAGAAATACCCCCTCATTTCGTCCGAATCTCTAAGCAGTGTTATAGTCCTTTGTCGGAGTGATCCCATGTTAGAGCGCATATTCCATAGTACTACTTATCCTACTTATGACATCCAACTTCTGCGTTTATGTATGCTGTTCTCTGACATTCCTTTGAGGCAATTGTGTTAAGACATGAAGTCGAGATTAAAACTTCTTCTCACTATTTGTAAATCTACCTTGTTTTAATCCGACTGTCCTCATTATTTGGTTCTTCGTCTTGTAAACTGTGCATACTTTGTATTCGATAGTACTGTTCTATTATATTTGAAATTTAGTTAGATCTATTTTTTTTACACTTGATATGATTCCACTTTATATCTTTATTCAGATTCCGACAGGAGCTGGAAGAGATCAGCAAAAGAGTGGAGACAGCCGAAAAAAGTCGAGAATTTTCCTACCCTTGGCTTAATCCTGACAATATTCCTAACTCGATCAGTATATAATGGAGTTCGTCTACCATGCATTGTTACCGAAGTGATATAATTTCATTGTTCATATTCTCTTCAAACCATCAATGGGGTGTGACACTGAAAACAACTTTAAACGACATTACTGATTGAGTTATACTTAACCAATACGTTATTAGTAGTGATATATCAATATTGAAGAAAATGATCATGTATTAACAAATATTATTGGATTAAATAAAAACGTTTTCCCATGGGTTATATTTACGTTCTCCTGCGACTAATCAGTGAGTTGGTTATATGTTCCTACGAGATACACTCATCTATCCTGAACCAGTATCAAACATTTGTTCAGTGCATGTTAGGATACCGAATTATTACGTGTCTACGTATTGACCTTCGGCCTCATTCATTGAGAAAAAAAATCCCATTTCAATCAGCAATACATATTTTAATGATAGAGTGCAGTCAACCAACAGTAGATATGTGTTCCATATTTTGATCTTACCTCTAAGATGTTTATCGCTGAAATATTTCAGATAGTAACTTACCTGTATCTTAAGCTTTAAACATCAAATAATGACAGAACATTTATGTTTGCACAGGGACTCTGCACGAGCTCCCAACCAACGACCCATATATATTTTATAGTAACAATTATAGTAACTCCTCCACAACGGAAAACAGTTTTTTTGTATATCATATCCTACATATTGTACACGGGGTAGATATTAGTGGCACAGATGTAGCAGTTTGGAAAACATTTTATCTTTCCACTGGGTGTTTGATGAACGAGATTGGCCATTCTTTTTTTCAAGTTATGCCCAGACGGATTCGGAAACGTATGTAGAAATAACTACGGATATTAGATTTACCTCTGTCCGTAGTTATTCATTTTAAGACTACACCATTGATAAGATAAAAATCTCCTCCAGGACTTCAACTGAAAAGGCTTCTTGTTGTTATTTCTTGAAAAGAAAGAGAGGGGTCATTTTTGCAAATTCTGTACGTATATGGGTCACTTTTCCATAGTCCCTTTCTTTTATGTTCAATTTGGGGTACAATAAAAAAAAGGGTCTTGAAAAGAATATGTTTATCTTGGGTTTTGAAAAATCAGTTAACAAAATCTCGTATATAGGCTTTTGATGCTCTCTTATCTATTTTTACTTCAGAGATCGAAAAGAAAATTAATTATTGGTCATTATTTCACTTTTTGGACTAAATAACTCAAGAGGCCATGGCCGGGTCTGTAGTCTTACTTATCGGCAATTATACACCGATAGAATGACAACTAAGAACATTGATGGCGAATAAAGATAAGTTATTATTTAGGTAGTAAAGAAGTTGTAAGTGATTTAAGTCACAGGGACTTGGCACGAATGCCCGCCATCGCCAATACGTATATGAGCCATGGGTCTAAAATTCGTGCCAAGTCCCTTTGATTGATATTACTCGCGGGTAATGTTAATTATAATAAATTTGTCCGAGTCAGAGCCCCATTTTTATATATTAACTTGTCCTAACAAATAACGTCCCTATTTTTTAAACTTCTAAACATATCCTTATACGAAAAGTGAATATACTGTCCATCATCAAGATCAAAGAGCAAACTTAAAAGACACTAGGTAAGATTATTAATTGAGTATTGTACCGACTCAAAACAAAGAGACTTGGCACAACTTCCGAAAGCATGCTAATATATGTAGCAAAAGGGTACTCTCTAGGAGAACAAACTAACTTGCAATATCATTTTTGTTCAAATTCTGTTCTTTTTATATTATACAGGGACCGGGCAGATCTTAGTCACACACACACAATGCCCGCAAGAAAATGTTTAATTTTTCCAATGAGTGTTTGATGAACGGACAATGTAATTTTTACTGTCTGAGATATATTAAGAAATCAACGAATGTAATTGTTGAATATTCTTTTCATTATCCGGCCTGCGCATTCGATATAAGATTGGTTTCCTCTGCAAACTGATTCAGCCTTTCGTTAATTATTGGCGTACAAAGTTTTCCAAAACATGAAACAAGTGTAGTAGCTGTATAGTTATCTGGATCACATTGGTCACCTTTGTTTTTGTAAATTGGTCAAATTACATCAACTGTCCGGCTTCTAGAACTATTCCGGTGTCAAATAAGAGTTTCAAGCCCCTCTTTATCATTGTCTGTAGTTGTATTTGCTTTACGCTACCAATTTGAACCGTTTAGATTGTTAAGGATATTCCACATTTTTAAGGGATATTTCTAGGAGGATTCCCTGATTTATTTTTCACAACTGAAATGTTTTAAAACACTTATTCCTGTCTTGTCTCTATTTCATACTTTACCGTTTTCCTATTCGCAGTATTTTTAATCCTGCTGTATTTTTTTCTTGCTTCGCGAAATTCTTTCCTGTGTTTAGCACAGTTACCAGGGTTTATCATTATAAGGTATCTTTTGTTTGCCATTATATAAAACTTTTAAATCGAACGTCTTTGTCTCAGAAGACTTAAATAAATCACTGATATTATTACTTTTTGCATTAACTTCATTACATGTTATAACATCCTCGGGTGAATAGTTGTAATTGAACACAGAACCTTACGGCTTTTGGATTTACGGCCCATATGTTCAATGAAACATAAAAATCGATGAATGAATGACACAGTTACTTACACATTGTCTCACTCTATGTGATTATTGGACTTAACCGCTCGTCCTTAAGTGTTAAATTACACAATTTTGATTTGAGCACCTACGTGGGAACACACCTGGTCCGCAATTTTTTTCACGATCATCTCAATGTACATTTATTTCATTTTAATGTCTTTTTCAAATCGCGCTTATCTATTCCATGTGGAGTAAATAGGTCGCCCTGTCGCCGTAGTTGATGTAGTCGATCTCAATAGAGGGATGTCTTGCAGGATGTGTAGGTTAGAAGCTGTTCCATTGGTTGTCTCTAAGCTGCCTGGCCATGTGTCTGTAATTGGCGACTTCTTCATCGTACATGTAGATGGTAGGTATGGAGCTTGAGTTCCTCTCTGCATTTTTTCCTTAGGCTGTTCGCGATCTTCTGAACTTCTCCCTGGAAACGATCGGGTAGATGATTGTGTTGGTGACCAACTTTCACAGGATCGTTGATGGTTGCAAGACAGTCTCGAACACAGCACCTCCAATAGGTATAGTCTAGTCATTCTAAGATTTGACCTCAAACTAACTGCAAAAGAATTGCTGTTTTTTGTATTGTACAGAACACGAATTACCTGAAAACATATCAAAAGTCTAGAAAAATCTAAACAAGGGAACATTTTATAAATCATTTATTGTTTCTAAAAGTATTTCAACGACACAGACTTGGCAGAATATTGAAATTAGTAGTGTATCGTTAAAGTTCTTTACCATGTACCGGTAACCAGCCTGGAGCAGAGTCCTACCACCATGTTTAATAGCAGTAAACTAGACTTGCACTGGATAGTTCGCCATTATAAGAATGTTACTTGGAAATTGACTGTATATATACTTATTTCATACTTATAAAATTTTACCTCTGGAGCATCTTACCTAAATTACTAATCCTTATTGACAACATCTCACCTGACGTTAATTTAAAGGAAATTAATTACATCAGCTTTTTGGTACATTTTGTTTCATTCGATATACATTTAATTACCGTAATGAGAATTTACTTTTTAACTAATGCATAAATTAAATATATAATAAAACACCAAAATGTTTGTCCAAATGTTTATTCCATTCTGTTTAACGATAATAGGAAATATTGATAAATTTTACTAATCTGCATGTACAGCTAAAGGATACATGTACCTTAACTGCTAAAAACAGCATGCTACCCAGCTTATTTAGATAAGTTTTAGGGACAACCAGCACCCACTATTTTCATTTTTGGGACAAACAAGACGACACCGTGATATGCTACAACGACGAACATGTAAACCTCGATCTCCTGTTTCGTCAAAATGGATTATCTCTGTTTTCTGTTGCTGTGCGCATGCTAAGTCAACCTGAAGTCATGAAATTTTGATAGAAAGTAATTATTGATTTTTACCTCTATTGGTTTCTCTTCAAATATTTTAAAACACAAATTTCATTTAAGTAAATAACGATTTTACCAAAGTGTTGTTAACACATAATTTCCACTTAAGTAACATCATTTCTACTTCAGTGTTTTAAGACACAAATTTCACTAAATATTTCTGATTAAGTGAGTGCTCTAACACACAAATTCATCTTCAGTAACATCATGTCTCCCCGTGTGTTTGAAACAGAAATGCCACTAGCCGATTTGGTCAAATAACGGCTAAACTCTTCTGGTCCGACCGCAGTACAAAGAAATGAACCAGGGAACCAAGTTCGTGCTGGGTGATGGTCCGGAGTGAGAGGACTGGCCAGGTGAATAAGGATAGCGAACAGGGCAGCGCATGCGCTACTCATTCACTTACTTACTTGCACAACTATCATTCACTTACCTGAAATAATCGTGACGTGGTCCTGACCAAAGTTTGTTAATTTCGGATTGGTCCGAAATCCAACATGACCGCCATGGCCGCCATTTTAAAAATACATTGAAAACACATGTTCAACTTCTTCTCAAGTGACATTGAGCTGAAACTTACCTGAAATGATCGTGACATGGTCCAAACCAAAGTTTGTTAATTTCGGGTCAGTCCAAAATCCAACATGGCCACAATGGCCGCCATTTTGAAATATATTGAAAACACATTCCTTGCCTCAATGATCTGACGTCCAGAAGATTTGTCAGTCTTCTAAGCAATGACTGTTCCGAAGAATCCTCTTTGTTGAAACAAATGACCATGATCCCCTTTCAAGGTCACAAGGGTCAAACGATATACGTTATAGAGGTACACGTGGTTAATTGTATTGCAGGGCCTCTAAAGCGTTTTAATTGCTCATTATGAAATATTTGAATATCAATATGAGTTTAATAAATGTGAATAATGACATTAGATTATAAAGTATCATTTTAGAGACAAAAAAATGATCTAATTAGGTACACCAGAGACGTAAATAACACAATAATGTGTTATGTACGTCTCTGGGTACACGTGTACATGTACCTCTATAACGTATATCGAAATCTCTTTGCGCTTTTGAAATAAACACCTCTCTGGTTAACGTACCATATTAAAACACATCCACGTCGACAAGTGGGTCTACTTGTAGATATGATGTGTGTAGACTCGCCAGATAGTAAACCTTATACAAGAAGTTATATCGGTGTCTACACCCACAGGACATAACGAGGGATAACAAAGGCATGTGGTGGTCAGATTGACGGTACAACAACGAATACGCCGATTTGTTATTTTTCTTAATTATAGCTAAGGGCACCAAGCTAGGAAGTGTTCTTCTAGCGATACAGATCAAGCAGGAGGTAAATTTTAAAGGATAAACTTTGTAAATATCTCGAAGGCCACACCCATATATAAGTGTGGAGTTTTATATGATAAAAGATTTATGTTCGTTTGAACGTAGTGAATTAGAATCATAAGTTATATCGGTGTCTACACCCACAGGACATGCGCATGTGTTGGCAGATTATGAGCCCCATCTAAGACTTGTTCGGTAAATTTTAAAGGATAAACTTTGAACTAAATAACAAATGTCGTTTACTATAATAAACGGCCAGATTCAATTCACATCTTGTGTTCTAGTTGTTATTTCTATGACGGTCTTACTAGCTTGCCATGGTGGAGGTCCGGTATAAAAGAAGTTATATCGGTGCCTACACCCACAAGACATGCGCAATGGGTACTTTCGGTTTGAAGGCTATCGGCCATGAAAACCTTAAGTGGAAGTAAATAAACATTTCTGGCTGATTTCAAGTGGGATACTTCGAGATCATCACTGTACTAATCTGCACATTACCTACATTGTCAGGTAAGATGTAAAATTATACGATTTTGTGGTGAGATATTGTACTTTGTCTTTCTTACAAATCTTTATACATACCATGTACTATATGCTACATTTTTGTATATGGACTACTCAAATCAGTATGTGCAGTGGTGTCATCACCGTTACCTTTTGGCTGGCTAGAAATACTATATAACATATGTGTTAGTACCTACTATCTCGAAGATCATTACCGAAAACTGCGCGGTTTGGTTGAACAGCAAGACGAGCCAGCAACAAAACGTTGTTTATATCGATTCTTGTGAAGGTTCCGAATCCAAAATAAACGGTAGTAAGGGGTGAATCTTTCTCAAATTTCATATGTTCATGTAGGTTCCCCTTGGTCCCTAGATATTGATCAAAAATGACAGACAGAGGTGATAGGAACTAGAGCGAAATGAATAGAAGAAGGGGGTAAACCAACATCATGCTTTTTAAATTTAGAAAATAGGAACTTTACCTCAAAAATTATCCGTTTGATTTAGAAAGAAAATGGGGTCATTATAAAACCAAGAGGATATCTTGGCTGAAGTTTGGTTTTTTATGGAAAATTTGTTAAGTATCGAGATGTTAATCGTTTACAGTCTGTCATTGATTTTAAACATATCGGGTATATTCTTATAACAAACAAGTTTCTAATGACCTACAAGCTATCGGTGAATTTGACTTCAATGTGTACCAGAAAACTCTGCTAGCTCTTCATTTGCGTTATGTAACATGGAACATGAGACAATAGGTCAGTGTTTATGGGAATGTCAAGAGGTGCAAATCTTACTTCAGAGATTTGAAACTCTTCTAGATTTATTACTAATTCTGTTTACTTATAACAAGAAGTCACTTCTTTCTGGAATAGTTACACAATATTGTAATCATGTTGGTAGTGAAGTTTTAATTCTTATCCAACATTATATCTACAAAACTAGATGCCATAGTAAAGCCCTAAACCTCAATGTTATAAAAGATCATTTCCTGGTTCAAAAATTTGTAAATAACAGTAGATGTGAGCCTATTAAGGGATATTTTGTAAAAGGTTGGAGAAAACCTCTTTCGGAATTATAATTATATAATACAAAAGGTATCCTTTTTTTTATTTTTTATTTTTTTTTATTGTTATCAATATCAACATTAATAATAACCCATTAATTTATGATTTTGGTTCTAGTTGGCAACTTTTTCATGATCATTTTAACCCTGGTTTTGCTTACTATTTTGCACACTTTTATACCATGCAACCATTCCCTTTTTATCTGATTTCTTTCTTCTCTGTCCCTTCCTTCTTTTGCTTTACTTATCACCTCCGTTCTCTAAAATGTGTGTACATGTATTTATGATGTGTGTTTGTATATGTGTGAAAGTGTGTGGATGTGTGTGCAAAATGAGTGACAGCTATTGACATTATGGATGTGTATAATTTTGAAATGAAATTGAGGTAATCATACATACTGGTAATTACATACCTACAAAATGTATATGACTGAGTGGATTTACGATGCTGATGCTGCTGCTGATGATGATGTATATTACACATCTTTTGAAAAATAGAAAGTTATAAAAAACAAAAAAATGACGGGTGGCCATCTTAGATTTTGAAAAAGAAAGTTCATTATTTGAGAAGGACAGGATTCATCTCTCTCAAATTGTAGATTTCCCGTTGGTTCCTAGTTGTCCCTTTTTGATTTTGGGACTGATTACAAAAACAAAATGGCTGACAGCTGGTCCCTTTTGATTTCAACAATGAAAGTTTATTATTGCAATCTGTTGCAATTTCTTGTGGGATCTCTTGTTAAGATCATAACTGATATCTGTATTAAGAGGAGTCTTGAATCTTGTATGTTCATTCCCCATGACTCCCAATTGTGCCAGTTTGATTTTGATACTGATCGGAAAAACAAAATGGCCGACAGAAGGCCAACTCGGATTTTTTATTTAATGATTATCACCCGAATCTATTCAGAGGAATGTTCAAATTTTGTATGATTAAGACCAAAAACAGGATGAACAACAAACAATGGTGGACGCCAAGATATCTGTAGGTTTTTTATAAAGATCATAACTGATATCAGTGGTTTATGAGATACCTCAGAGGCAATAATTGACTTATTTCTTGAGAAGTACTCCATTGATCTATCTCAAGTTTCTTGTATAGGTTCCTCTTGGTCCTTATTTGTGCTTGCATGATTTTGGGAATGATCAGAAAAATGAAATGGCCATCAGGTGGCCGCCTTGTATTTTAAAAAAAGAAATGTCATTATTGTTTCATTAGAAGCAGTGGATGGATTGCTCTCTTGTTTCATATTTAGGTTGCCCTTGGTCCCTAGTTGTGTCTTTTTCGTTTTGGGACTGATTAAAATAGAAAATAGCTGACAGCCGATGATCTTACAACAATGAAAGTTTTGGAAGTTTACTATTTTAATCTCTTGTTAAGAGCAAAACTGATATCAATATTAAGAGGTGCCTCAGAGTCAATAACAGACTTTTTAACAAAATTTGTTCCACAGAATGATCAAGATCGACTTTGTACATATCACTGGCCTGACTGACCCGTTTGTTTGAGGTCCTGAGACATGTGTTAAAGACCTATGTGACAACTCCCCATAGGAAAGTGTGTGATAAAAAAAAGGGCTAAGTCCTGTAACCTCTGTCTGTACAAGTTGCTCTTGTAGAAATTTTTGAAATAAAGAATAGGTTTTTTAGGTGGAAAATGGAATTCTGATGAGAGGAATTACATGTTTTCTTTTGCTGAATCGGTTAGTCTTGGACCATTTCAAGTAGACCAACAGTATGTCTGACAATATTGGATTTTGTCTTTAAATTTCTAGATTCCCCAGGATCGTCAGTCGTGCATTAATGAATTTGGGACTGATTATCATGTTTTAACCATTATCATGAACTTTTCAATGTCAATTCATGCATGATTTTTGTGACAATTTTACAAACAAAAATGATGGCATTTCGATTGTTCATGGTCTATCAACCAAATCAAACTTCATGGTTTGATGTTTGTGAAAAATACTAATCACATTGGATTGATTGTAACTTTTTACCTTGAAACTTTAACAGTAGTCAAGGGATACATACAGTGCTTTCATTTAAAAGAACCTTATTTCATTTGTCTTTGAGTTATTACAGGTATAGATCTACAAACTTGCAGAAAAGAATTTCACTGATGAAGTTGCAACATCTGTATTATGAAAATTATCAACTTATATCAGTAAATTAGAAGACTTTAATTAAGTTATGCCTAGTATATACATTGTTTCTGTTGCTTCAAGAAAGAAAATATAAACTTTTTAAAGTAAATTAAAAGGCTTTAATACAGGTTTCGCTATATGATGTTAAATTTAATAAATATTTGTGAAACTGAATCTTAATTGAGACCCTTCAGAATCGAACAGTTTGTTTCTGAGCTTGACCACAGTGTATGATGAAAAACAACCAATATTCACAAATAATCATGAATATATATTAAAAATGAATTACTCTTCCTATTATTGATACTATTTTGTTGAATAATATTGACCAGAACATCATTTGAAAGTTTTAGAGGAAATATTTAATGACAAACGGTATGGCTGTATTGTACTTCAGTTAGGATATTTTTTCTCATGTTCTCATTTGCGTATGAAAACATCTGTATATTCTTTCTGAAACAAAAATTATTTGTACCTCAAATACATCTAATGTTTAACCCATGAATTGAAAAATATTGTCCTAAACATTATATTTTTCAAGAGAATGGATCTCGAAGCTGTATATGTATGCTAATATCTGATATATCTTTTATGAAATCTGATTCCAATTTTAAGAATAGATATACATGTTTAAACTCTTTTATTGCTTTCCAGAGTGAAATGGCAGCAGCAGGGGGTAGAATATCAACTCATCTCTTTGTAGCTGCCATAGATTTTGGCACTACATACTCCGGATATGCCTTCTCTGCCAAAGATGACTTTGAAAAAGACCCATTGAAGATCAATGCCAATGTGTGGAATTCTGGTGCACGGTCCTTGATGTCACACAAAGCGCCAACAGCACTACTTCTCAACCCTGATCTATCTTTCAATTCTTTTGGATATGATGCAGAGAATAATTATTCACAACTAGCAGAGGATAATGAGCATCAGAATTACTACTTTTTCCATCGTTTCAAGATGGTTCTCCATAACAACAAGGTTTACACTTCTTCATTGTTTTCCACTTTAACAACAAGGCCTCTGGTTATTGATGGTTTCTCACATCATCAAGACCTGTGGTTATTGATGGTTTCTCACATCAACAAGACCTGTAGTTATTGATGGTTTCTCACATCAACAAGGTCTGTAGTTATTGATGGTTTCCCACATCAACAAGATCTGTAGTTATTGATGATTTCCCACATCAACAAGGTCTGTAGTTATTGATGATTTCCCACATCAACAAGGTCTGTAGTTATTGATGATTTCCCACATCAACAAGACCTGTAGTTATTGATGGTTTCTCACATCAACAAGGTCTGTAGTTATTGATGATTTCCCACATCAACAAGGCCTGTACTTATTGATGATTTCCCACATCAACAAGGTCTGTAGTTATTGAGGATTTCCCACATCAACAAGACCCGTATTTATTGATGGTTTCTCACATCAACAAGGCCTGTACTTATTGATGATTTCCCACATCAACAAGGTCTGTAGTTATTGAGGATTTCCCAAATCAACAAGATCTGTAGTTATTTATGATTTCCCATTTCCCACATCAACAAGATCTGTAGTTATTGATGATTTCCAACATCAACAAGACCTGTAGTTATTGATGATTTCTCACATCAACAAGATCTGTAGTTATTGATGGTTTCTCACATCAACAAGGTCTGTAGTTATTGATGATTTCCCACATCAACAAGATCTATAGTTATTGATGATTTCCCACATCAACAAGGCCTGTAGCTATTGATGATTTCCCACATCAATAAGGTGTGTAGTTATTGATGGTGTCCCATACCAATAAGGCCTGTAGTTGTTGATGGTTTCCCACATCAACAAGGTCTGTAGTTATTGATGGTTTCTGCAAGGGTCCTTAAGTTTTGAACTAATTAATTCATGCTTCAGTGTAGACAGCATTTCTATCCAGGGAACTGATCAGAAATTCTCACTAGTCAGTATGGAACAATAATACCAACATGACAACTTGCTTCTTTGAACATTTTCTTGAAAACTATGATCAGAGTCAATAGCTATTGTTTCTTTTTTCATTTGTATAAACATCAGATTTGCTTTTGATCTCACACTGTAAGCAAGAGATGAAAAAAGAATGTCTGTAGCAGAGGCCATAATGATCTTTATCTATTCTATTGAAGTTTTCTCTTTTCTGATTTTTGCAAACTAATGACCTTGAAATAGAGGAAGTGAAAACCATTGACACAAACGTGTGTTATATTTATTTGAATTGCCTCTAGATATGGTAGTATATTTTTCAGGCCTTGCGAAGGGACACAAGAGTTGAAGAGGTTACAGGAAAGAAAACATTACCTGCAATAGATGTGTTCTCTCATGCCATCCGTTACCTGAAAGATCACTTGATGCAAACCATCCAAAAGATGGTTGAAGGAATTAACTCTAATGATATCAAATTTGTAATTACTGTACCAGCAATATGGGATGACAGGGCCAAACAATTCATGCGAGAAGCAGCCAAGAAAGTAAGCTTTCTTTTTTATATTACAAAGTACTGACACAAATAACTTCATCAAATGACACTATATCTCATTTGTGATATCAAGTTGAATTATAGTACTGCAGTTGTCATATGAAATCAGCTATGTGATATAGTATTTTGACTTTGATGTTAATTATGGTCCCTGACTCACTTTACTGTTGTTTTGTTTGTATGTTCAGTCAATGCATATTTTACCCTATGATTGTTATTGATTAGGGAGGTATCAGAGAGACACAACTGTCTATAGCTTTGGAACCAGAGGCGGCCTCCATCTATTGTCAGAACCTCCCAGTGGAGAGAGCTGGAGCTGGAAATGAAAGTTTTCTTAAAGTTGCTAAATCAGGAACAAAGTACATGGTGTTGGACTTGGGAGGTAATTTGTGTTATCTTTTAATATCGTAGTCACTACAAGACGTTTGAAAGATTAAAGGCTTCTTTGTGTACAGACAATACATGGTGATATATTAAAATGTAAAGGATATATCTCGTGTATTGTCAGTCATCAAGTGCCATCTCTAAACTTTTCCTTTAAAATGCTACTCTGCTTAATGCTTTGGTGGATTTCAATCAAATATGGTTTGAAAAAGCAACCCCCTAGGGACCTGGGAATGGGGCCCCGAAAGGGTAGTCAGACAATACTTTGCTTCAAAACGCTATGCTTCCTTATTACTTGAATTGATATCATCCAAATTTTGTCTGTAACATCAGTCATGTAGGCAAATAATTTTTAAATTCAGGAATTTGATTTGACCCTTAGGGACTTGGGGGCGGGGCAAGTTGGGGAAAGTTAGTCAATATTTTGCTTAAAAATGCTTGTCTTTCTTAATTTTTCCTAAGTGCTTGAATGGATTTATACCAAGTGTGGTGTGAAATATCATCATGAGAATTCATCAGATTTGTCCGACCACCATCTGCAATTCTGTGGTTTGTCCATCTATTCATCGATTGTCAGATGACTGTTAAGGGCCATGGCCCTCTTATTTTGTAAAACCCCTGCAATGAAGTTGGGGGCAGGAGGGTATGCTGGAATCACCTTGTCCATCCATCAGTTTGTCAATCTGTCCGAAGACTAACTTCGTCTGGCTATGCATTTTCACAGTTTTCATGAAATCTTTTTAGAAAAATTGTGGGAAATGCCAGTACAATTTGGAGATGTGCCCACATAAATGAGTTTTTATTTCTCCCACTTTTCAGCGAGTTGTCCCCCTTTTATATAAAAAATGAAACAAATCTTGATTTTGACCAAATTTGGTATGTAGAGGTACAAGGGGATGCCAAATGTCACTGTATATGTTTTATTGTCATGACAACTATGCTGAGGCAAATTGTAGCCTCTTCTTGGTTGACATTTAGACATTGTCTGATTTTTACGTTATTTTGTATATCAAGGTATTAGGCAATGCCAAAAATTAATTTTCAACTGTTTTTGACTTTTTTGATTAAGCAAATTTGGTACATGTATAAACAGATTTTCTTCTCTCTTGAGGCTGGTGTCTGAATACATTTGATGATTTCTTTGCCCACATGAATCAAATAACTTATCAACAACATACACTAAATATACCAGAATATAGAAATGTACTTGGGGAACATTTAGATGTACATGAACTAACTGGGATATATGTAAAATAGCATGGATGTATGTGAACTAGCTGGGATATATATGAACTAGAATGGATGTATGTGAACTAGCTGGGATATATATGAACTAGAATGGATGTATGTGAACTAGCTGGGATATATATGAACTAGAATGGATGTATGTGAACTAGCTGGGATATATATGAACTAGAATGGATGTATGTGAACTAGCTGGGATATATATGAACTAGCATGGATGGATGTGAACTAGCTGGGATATATCTGATTAAGCTGGGATATATTTGAACTAGGTTGGATATATATGAACTAGCATGGATGTATGTGAACTAATTGGGATATATGTGAAATAGCTAGGATGTATGTGAACTAGCTAGATGTTTGTGAATAGGTTGTGATGGATGTGAACTAGTTGTGTTGTATATGAACTTGTTTGGATATGTGCATGAGCTGGGACATATGTGGAATAGTTGGGATGTATGTTAACTAGCTAGATGTTTGTGAACTAACTGGAATGTATGTGAACTTTTAGGATGTACTTGATATGAACTAGTTTTTATGTCTCTGAACTAGCTGAGATGAATGTGACCCAACTAGGCAATGTTAAAGTTTTGCATAATTATACAATGTATGATATTTACCTTATATATCCAGTAATAACCCCATGTATGATAATAAGCCCACTCATATCTATTGTAGTTTAGTAGAAATGAGTCCTGATATAAGCTCACCCCTTTATATTAAGTATGAAAAATCTCTCACTTTGTGAATAGATATCCCGTACCCTCTCACCTCAGCATTGTTCCATTTGACTTCTCAGAGGTTTGGTTTACAACAATAATTTATAGTCATATCTGTTTTTGATTTTAGGTGGGACAGCTGACATCACTGTCCATCAGCGACAGCATGATGGCACACTTAAAGAACTGCTTCCAGCAACAGGGGGTGCATTTGGTGGGAAATCTGTAGATGACGCATTCAGTGCTTGTCTTGCAGATATTGTTGGTGAGGAAAACATGAAGAAATTACAGGATGAAAGCATGGAGGATTTCATTGATCTTTTCCGAGAATTCGAAACAAAGAAAAGAGCAATTTATGAAGATAAGCCAACGAAATTATCAATAACAGTGCCTGTAACCTTAGTGGACATTGTAAGGAGAGATAAAACAAGGAGAAAAATGGAAGATGCTGTGAAATCCTCTCCCTTTAGCGAAGACATCACTTGGGGCAAACAGAAACTACAGATTTCAAATAATCAGTTCCAAAAACTTTTCAAACCAACGATTGACGGAATTATAAAACACATGGAAGGAATACTGCAACAAGGAACATTCCAAGATGTTGGGAATATACTAATGGTGGGGGGTTTTGCAGAATGCGAACTTGTTCAAAGTGCTATCCGTAAAAAGTTTGGTAAAAAACGGATTATTGTACCAGATGAGGCTGGTCTGGCTGTACTCAAGGGAGCTGTACTCTTTGGTCATGTTCCTCGGATAATCAGCAGTAGAGTTGCACAGCACACCTATGGAATTCAGAGTTGGCCAGCGTTTGATCCTCGCAGACATCCTGCTTCAAAGAAGGTTTTAATCAATGGAGTTGAAAGGTGCAAGGATGCATTCTTCAAGTACATAGAGATTGGACAGCAAGTAACACCTGGTCATTCAGAGTCACAAGTGTTTCAGGCACTGAAGCCAGACGAGGCAACACTTGAGTGTACTGTGTATGTATCAAATGAAAGAAACCCTGTCTTTGTAGATGATGAAGGTTGCACTCGATTAGGACTTCTCACTGTTCCCTTAGATCCAACACGTACAGGAGCAGTGGAGGTGGAAGAGACACTTATATTTGGAGAAACTGAGCTTCATGTTCAGGCAAAGGACATTGGTACTGGAAATATGTATGAGGCTCACTTTGACTTTCTGTAAGTATTGATTTTTAGGAAGAATTTTCCATCTTGTCAAACACCCATCTGTAGAAATTGAATTGACTTGACCCAAATTATGTCTAGATTCTATTTCAGTCCTCAAAAACCATTCTGAATATGCAGTTTGACCACTTAAACCACTCTTAAAAATAAAAAAAAAATATAAAAAAAATTGTAAACACATTTGCTGTGGAATGTTATAATTTTATTGCACACTGTCTTTAACACCTTAAACTTTATTCATATTTCAAACATTATTCATTTTACTATCATAATTTTCCCCTTTTGAGGCCCCCTTTATTACTTACATGTATACTTGTTGACTTTAATGTAATTAGAGCACAGAGTATTTCTTCATTCCTATGGCAATTGTTTTGCTGAATTCCTATCCTATTAGTGAATTTGGGATTAAAAGGTCAACTACAAAAGTCACTTGCTGAAAATATACTTTTATCATCAAATTTTGGTTCCAGTTCATAACTTCAGAGGGGATTTATCGATTTTGTTGAAACTTCAGACAGTGTTAGCTTAATAAAAGGTTGGATTGAAATTGGGGTCAAAAGGTCAACTTCGAAGGTCACTGTTACTAACAATAGACTTTTATCATATTTTGGCTTCCAGATGATAGAGTTGTGAATGGGTCAAAAGGTCAACTGTGAAGGTTACTTACATCAATAAACATTTATCACCATTTTTAGGGCCCTGCATCAAAGATGCAGGAAGCAAAGTTTGTCAGAATGAAACCAGTAGTCAACTGACCATTGTTCTAGGTCACTGTGTCAAAAGGTCAAGGTCATATATATACTGACAATGTAACTAGAATGGTTAAATTTACCCTTAAAGGTCAGACACAAAGCCTGATCTTTTCTGATATGTCAGTGTTTTAGTTTCTTTTCCAGATAATCACTTAATTGAATAAGGGATGTGTGTTATTAAGCACAAAAGAGTGCATGTAAAGTTTTTTCCATGTCATTTTCTGGTTTTTGCATCCTTCCTGTCAAGACACTGGTTTTTGGAGGGGAGACGTTTAATTTTTCAAATAAGATATCTTTTCATTGCTATCGAGGTCCATTGACTGAAAATTGATTAACTGAAAGGGGACGAGTGTTGAATGGAACACTAAATGTAGGCTTGTTTATGTTCACTTGATCATCAACGAAAGTGTTTCATCAACTAAATCCTGAATTTACTTTGTTTCAGGGGCGGTGGTATTTAAAGATATACTGGGAATGACATTGATCAGAGACGTATGGCAGCCATTGAGTAACCAAGATAGGACTAAGCTGTGATAATTAGGATTATACATGTGTACATGGTTGTGTATAAAACATGGACCAAATAGTGGTTATAAGTTTATCAGAAATATACACTTTATGTAAATCCTCATTGAGTAAGACTCTGGGGTAGAAATGAGATAAAGTGGTTATAGTACCATTATCTATTTGTTTATAGAACATTTATAATGTTTACTATCATTGGGCATACAATCATGATTCTGTGTTTTAGACGCTTGGGTGCCATATAAAAGCATCACTGACAGGACAGTGCTATCAAACATTTGTTTAGTATACAATAACATGATATCTGTATTGCTTACTTATATTCCAGAATTTTTATGTACTTCATAACATAGGATTGATGCACATGAAGAATACAAAAGGCAGAAATGATGTGAAGGCCAACACATGAATTAGAAAAGCTGAACAATATTACAACCAAAAGAGAGGGAAATTAATTGAACTAAGAAAAAGATCTCACTTGGCAATTGATATATTTAGTTTATCCTGCAACTGTCGCTGTCATTGTCGAAAAACACCTGCTACATATATTTTTGTTGTATTCGGCAGTGAAAGAATTACTTTCTGAATTTACTTGAATATTATGTCAAGAGATATAAAAAGTTGTTGAAATAAGAATTCTATATGTTGTGATGACAAATTGATTTATGAAAATTCATAAAAATGGTTGTTATATCAGATGAAGTTTGGAACCATAATTCCATGTGGAGCAATCACTTTTTGCTAATTCTAACTGACTTGTTTTTCCCTTGCATAGACAGTGTATTTGTAGAATATAGAATTGCCCAAATATTGGTTTAAAATGACAAGTAAAACAAAATTTCTATCAATGTGGTGTCCTGTTAAGACAGTGTTGTTGTCAATGTCTTCCTGTGGTATAGTATCTGCAAATGACTTACTGGTTCCGGTCATTGACTACCACAGGTACATTACATAACCTTTAGAGTTTCAGCACTATGAATGGAGTTATTGTCCTTGATCAACATACAGTTGAAACTCATTGTCTCCATATCACTTGATTCGAAATTCCATTTGAGTCAAAATAATTTACAAGTCCCGATTTTTTCCATTCAACATCTTTGTGTTTTTAGTTTGGATGACTTGAATTTCATTGAGTCGAAATTTCGGTTGAGTCAAAGCGATTTTTAAGTCCATTTTACTGTAAAGCAAGGGAAAAATCATTTGTTGTCTCGAACTTACTTTTCATCAAAACATTGGCACGTCTTCTGACAAAATAAGTCAATATATACACAGAGTAGAAAGTCACCCCTGCATAACACTTGGCTTATTACAGCGTATCGGTCCCTCGAACACTTTGTCACTTACAATTAATCACCAGTTTGATTATCCAATTAAAGTTTGGCTTCTTACTTAGTGTCACAATCCTGTAGCAATGACTTACCTGTTGTTAAAAATGTAGCATGTTTACATGAAAATATTTAGCTTGGTTGTGTGCATTTTCAGGAGCGATAAAAACGAAACCGTTGAACCAGTTCATACATTTTGATGAAATCTGATCCCCACAATTTTGAAAGAAACTTATTCTAAGTTTGTTAAGTAAAGGACTGTGATCGGGCACTTTGTCAGAATGTATTTTTCATCAATAGAGTCCATATCTCTGCGTGATTTGTTAAGTCTAATGCTTGTACAATGTTTCTGTAACAGATAAAAACTCTCCAGTGCCGCATTTATCATACATGTATTTATTCATCATATAGTCATACTGATCTGTAGCCTCATACATCGTTTCTTGAAGCCTATCAAAAGCAAATTTAAATTTCATTTTATTTTATTCCGTAAACTATATGATGTATATGTGCTTAGGTATTGTGCACGAGTGCGGAACAGACAACAATTAAAGGAGAAAGTAGGATAAATTCATTTGTTCATTTACTGCCATTTCAAATATTAGATTAAACTATGCTGTTTACATGCTATCGTAGCCCAACTTTGTTCAACCGTAATAAATGTCAGAAACTGATATCATCAGCCTTATTTATACACGAGTCGAAATATGGATAAATCAAAATATTTTCCACAGTCCCTTGAATTTCGAGATAAGGAGTTTCGACTGTAACTTTTTGTGGTGTGTTTTAATTAACTGATGTTAAATATATAGTATGTACTGAATCTGCTGATCAGGTTTCTTAAATCTGTAAATCATTCTATTAGTAATATAATAATAACTCATATTGCACTGCTTGATTTGTTACAAGTTATGAATTAACCTATCTGATGTATGTGTATCTTGAATGTGTTTCGATTATTATCGAACTACTGTCTAGGTCAGGAGAAATTCTTATTTCGATTCTTTTTCTGCAAGTGTTTATTTTTGTCATCATCTAATGTAAAGAGTGAATATTTACCAAATACGTTCCTATCCAATATCATGAATCATGTGCATTAGAGATCACCTCTGCAACAATCTCAAATATTAATGAATATTTTTAAAGGATTTAAATTTTAAACTATCAAAATTAAAATGTTTTTATTTGATGATTTCGTGTAACTTCCCTTTGTCTGTAAATGCCTAAACTTTGTTGAGTTTAACAAAAATCTAAAATCACCCAAAGTGCTGAACATTTTTAGGTCACCTGCAGAGACAATGTCACTGGGTTACCTGATGTGATTGCCTTTTGTCTGGCATGCGGTATCTTGATTTCTTCTCAAAAAACCTTCGACCCAATTTCACGAAAATTTTTCAGAAATCTTCCCCCATAGCCAAATGTGAGCCAAAATAATGAAATCTATGGTCCCTACCCTCTTGGGGCCTGAGGGGCTGTGCCAACAAGGGTCAAATTGACTCAAAGTCTTTAGAATCTTCATCACACAGATATGGTAGAATCAAATGTACTTCATGAATGGTCTTGAGGTGGTTTACCAACATTGTGAATTTCATGACCCTAGGATCACCTATTTACCTGTGGATAGTTTAATATAGTTTATATAACTAAATTATATTTGAGCATTATTTGTTTAGTTCCCATTGGAAATATTTCAGACTTCATAAGAATAATTTGTACAGGATGACAACTTGATGATATGAAAATATTGATACTGGCTGAACTTTAGGAGCTGATAAATAAGGCTAGAAGGTGTCACAGTGATCCAAGTTTCAAAAATCATCTTCTCAAAAGTCAACTATAGTATACATAGAATGAAATGATCTTTCTGGATGGAAGGGTCTTTAGGTGGCGCTTTATTGAAATTGTGAATTTCACGAATCTCAAATTTCACCTTTTGGCCCCCCTTTGTCCCTAGTTGTTCACCAACTATTTCTGGGACTTATCAAAATATCAAAAAGGCTTCTAGGTGGCCATCTTGGATATTGACAATTATAGTTAATCTTTTTATGCTCCCTGTAAATTTTTAGGGGAACATATACTTGCTGCCTTGTCCGTTCGTTGTCTTTCTGTCCATCCTTTTGTGTCTGGAGCATAACTTTGCCCATAATTAAGCAAGGATCATGAAACTTGGTGTGCATACATGTGTCATACTAGCATAACCAGATTCGTGTATACATTGTTGTACACAAAGATAATGAAATTGTTGTATACATCCTTGTCCAGGCATAACTTTGCCCATAGTTAAGCAAGGATCATGATACTTCATGCATACATTTACCAAACTGAGACAATATGCTGTGTACCAAATTCAGAGCCCTTAACCCCTCAATTACAGAGTTACTGCCTTTTCATAAAATTTCGTGTCTGGAGCATAACTCTTATTGCTTTTAATGATCAACTCAACAACATTTTGCAGATATCTATATTTTAAGACAAACATCACCTAGGAAGTACCAATCTATTTGCACCTCTCAATACGGTTGTAACTGAGTGCTTTCGTCTACAGATGAGTTTGATTGCCTGTTTTGTCTTTCTCCGGCAGCTTTCCGAAGTCTTCAGCACCCTAAGTCTGTGATGTGTATTCCGCCAGGCAGTAGTGACTGGCGCTAACACAGTGTTGGTCTCTTATGATGAGGTAGTTCAATGATCTGTCATATTTCAGCAGGTGGTACACTCTATTGTGTAGATAATCGGTCATATTTCAGCAGTGGTGGTACACTCTATTGTGTAGATAATTGGTCATATTTCAGCAGTGGTGGTACACTCTGTTGTGTAGATAATTGGTCATATTTCAGCAGTGGTGGTACACTCTATTGTGTAGATAATCGATCATATTTCAGCAGTGGTGGTATACTCTGTTGTGTAGATAATCGGTCATATTTCTGCAGGTGGTGGTACACTCTGTTGTGTAGATAATTGGTCATATTTCAGCAGTGGTGGTACACTATGTTGTGTAGATAATCGGGTCATATTTCAGCAGGTGTTGGTACACTCTGTTGTGTAGATAATTGGTCATATTTCAGCAGTGGTGGTACACTCTGTTGTGTAGATAATCGGTCATATTTCAGCAGGTGTTGGTACACTCTGTTGTGTAGATAATCGGTCATATTTCAGCAGGTGGTACACTCTGTTCTGTAGATAATCGGTCATATTTCAGCAGTGTTGGTACACTATGTTGTATAGATTGTGTAATATGTCATATTTCAGCAGTGGTGGTGTCATATTTTAGCAGTGTTGGTACACTATGTTGTATAGATAATCGGTCATATTTCAGCAGTGTTGGTACACTATGTTGTATAGATAATTGGTCATATTTCAGCAGAGTTGGTACACTATGTTGTATAGATAATCGGTCATATTTCAGCAGTGGTGGTACACTCTGTTGTATAGATGATTGGTCATATTTCAGCAGTGGTGGTACACTCTGTTGTGTAGATAATTGGTCATATTTCAGCAGTGGTGGTACACTCTATTGTGTAGATAATCGGTCATATTTCAGCAGTGGTGGTACACTCTATTGTGTAGATAATCGGTCATATTTCAGCAGGTGGTGGTACACTCTGTTGTGTAGATAATTGGTCATATTTCAGCAGTGGTGGTACACTCTATTGTGTAGATAATCGGGTCATATTTCAGCAGTGTTGGTACACTCTGTTGTGTAAATAATCGGTCATATTTCAGCAGTGGTGGTACACTCTATTGTGTAGATAATCGGTCATATTTCAGCAGTGTTGGTACACTCTGTTGTGTAGATAATCGGTCATATTTCAGCAGGTGGTACACTCTGTTCTGTAGATAATCGGTCATATTTCAGCAGTGTTGGTACACTATGTTGTATAGATAATATGTCATATTTCAGCAGTGGTGGTGTCATATTTTAGCAGTGTTGGTACACTATGTTGTATAGATAATCGGTCATATTTCAGCAGTGTTGGTACACTATGTTGTATAGATAATCGGTCATATTTCAGCAGTGTTGGTACACTATGTTGTATAGATAATCGGTCATATTTCAGCAGTGTTGGTACACTATGTTGTATAGATAATCGGTCATATTTCAGCAGTGGTGGTACACTCTGTTGTGTAGATAATTGGTCATATTTCAGCAGTGGTGGTACACTCTGTTGTGTAGATAATTGGTCATATTTCAGCAGTGGTGGTACACTCTGTTGTGTAGATAATCGGTCATATTTCAGCAGGTGTTGGTACACTCTGTTGTGTAGATAATCGGTCATATTTCAGCAGGTGGTACACTCTGTTCTGTAGATAATCGGTCATATTTCAGCAGTGTTGGTACACTATGTTGTATAGATAATATGTCATATTTCAGCAGTGGTGGTGTCATATTTCAGCAGTGGTGGTACACTATGTTGTGAAGATAATCGGGTCATATTTCAGCAGTGTTGGTACACTATGTTGTATAGATAATCGGTCATATTTCAGCAGTGTTGGTACACTATGTTGTATAGATAATCGGTCATATTTCAGCAGTGTTGGTACACTATTTTGTATAGATAATCGGTCATATTTCAGCAGTGGTGGTACACTATGTTGTGTAGATAATTGGTCATATTTCAGCAGTGGTGGTACACTCTGTTGTGTAGATAATCGGTCATATATTTCAACAGTGGTGGTACACTCTGTCATGTAAAGTTATTGTACACCTAGTGAAATAACAGTCAGAGGAATTCTTCATTATCTGTTTATTGGAGGACATGTTTCAATTTTCAGCTGGTGCTGACATCCCTTTCATAAGGAATATTACACTTTATGATCAAATTAAAATGAGTTTCATTTGGCCCTTAACAGTCATCTGACAATCAATAAATGGATAGACAAACCACAGAATTTGCAGATGGTGGTCGGACAAATCTGATTAACTCCTAAGATTTCATACCACATTTGGTATAAATCCATTCAAGCATCAAGGAAGAAAAGAATGGAGCAAAATCATTGACTAACTTTCCTATTTGGTGCCCTTTCCCCAGGTCCCTAGGGATCAAATAAATTTTCTGAATTTAGGAAATGGTAAGCCACCTGCATCAATGTTTCAGATCAAATATGGTTGAAGTCTACCAAAGCATTAAGAAGGAGTAGCATTCTGAAGCAAATTATTGACAAACTACTTCTTTTTGAGCCCCATCCCTAAGTCCCTAGGGGTCGAATCAAATTTCTGAATTTAAGAAATAATTGCCTACCATAACTGATGAATTTGACCAAAGCTTTTGGAATCCACCCAAGCAGAAAGGAGTTTAGTTTTAAAGCTAATTTCAGCACCTCCCTGTTTTGGGCCCCATCTCTCGACCCCTAGGGGTTGAATCTAAATTCTGAATTAGAATATAAAACCCTCACCCAATGATTCATCAAACCAAATTTGTTGAAATCCACCACAGTATGAAAGAAGAAGGTTTTTTAAGAAAAAGAATACTCATGATGTAGGATGCCCGATGCATGGTGGACGGTGCACAATGACGGACGAAGCATGATGGCTATAGGTCATGTTGATCCTTCGGATCAGATGACCTGAAAAGTGAAAAGACGGTTACCATCACTGAAGTGAGTACATAAAAAATTGTGTCAAAATAATTTTAAGCATATAAAATAATTGTTCAATACTCTAGTGGCAATCATATCTCTGAAATGAAGATGTGAAAATCTTCTTTACAAAATAATTTCAAACGTAAAATACACCTTGATAGTGTTAAACATAATGTAGAAAAACAATTGACGATGACATAATGAGTGTAAAACCATGTTTATTAATAAACAAAGATATATATGTACAGTACAACAGTATGTAATTAAATAATGATAAAGATCCTCAACCTTTTACAATGTTTTCCGATTCAATTTACTTACCGGGGTGGTAATCTGAAGCTATAATTCTCACCTGATCTGGTTGCATGAAATATGAAACTCTCAATATATACTATAATATATAAAGAAAATTGTTAAAAAAACAAAAGAAAAAGTTAAGTTAGCATTTTGCACAGCATTTTCACAGCTTAGCTGCTCCTCATAACATATAACATATATATATAATAGTTATATACAATAACCTTTGGGAATTGTTCAATTTGCTTCAATGTAAAAACTGCAACATTATTCTGAATCAAGAAACAAATTTAAAGTCAATGTGGTTAATTTGTTTCATCAAGCTATTCAATAAGTCTTTTGCAGAAGTTTTAAACAACTGGTGCTTATAGATTAATCAATGAATGAACTTGATTTGATTGTCCAGTTTTTCCATCTTGTGATATCCTTTTGAGAGACATAATGACCCTTAGTTGTTTTTAGAGGTAACCTTGCCAGTCTTTCACTCCCATTTGCCAATCTTACGGTCGGAGACGTAATTGCCTTTTGGGCTCAATGTATTTGGTGGTAGCATTGCAAGGTACAGTGGAGTGTCAGCACCTACAATACACAAGATATATTTATAGCATGTTGTCAAGCTGAAATAACAATGTATTGTAATCAGGTGAAAATTGGTAATATTTATCAAAATTCACTCACATGATATTTTTACCAAGTATTGCTTTACCCAAGTTTTAACTTTTCTGATGTTTTACTGTGATTAAGTACTGGTTTCAATATGCATAGAGTTACAGGGTGATCTATTCATTTCAGATTTAGTTTATAGTCATGACTGAAATGAATAGATCACCCTATAAAAACTATGTAGTCATTTCTGAAAGAAGAAAGTTTATGTCCCAAAAACACGCCAAAACAAGAGATCCCAGAGGGATCTTGGCCCCTACAATTGTTTGATCTTTATTTGTTCTATTAGTGTTGGACCTTTTCCCTTCTTTTCTCTTTTCTGTCTTTGCTCTTAATGTTAAGAAATTTGAACATTAATCTTTTGCAGAATTAGTGATAACGAGAACTGTCACCAGGATGGCCAACTAATCCTTCCCACCCTACCCCGCTCCCCAATCAACGATAGTTTTTGAGGGGTTGTCCCAACAAGATTCCTCCATGGCAATCGAATGGAAACAATTTCTTTTCTTTTTTGAAATTGATATTATTTTATTTGTCATCCCCCTAAACCTTTTTATATTCAATTTTCAACTTCATCAGATAGTATCTTGAGGAGGGGAGGGTGGTTGTAATAATATTTAACTGCTAAATCCAGGATGATCAGATGGAAGCCATTTTCTGATCAGTCCCAAAAATCAAATGGGAGAAGGGACCAAGGGCAACTTACATATGAAATTTGACAGAGATCCACTCAGTACCTCTTAAGAAATAGTCATGACAAACTCTACTACGTAAAGTCCAAATGGGCACAACAAGGGATCACAGGAATCCTACACATGAAATTTGAGAAAGATCTATACAGTAGTTATCAAGAAACAGCAATAACAAACTTTCAAAGTGAAAATCCAAGATGGCTGCGTGTCAGTCATTTTTATTTTTCTGATTAGTACTAGGGCCAAAAAGGGCACAACTAGGGATCACATGAAATTAGAGAATGATCTATGCAGTAATTGTCAAGAAATAGCGATAACAAACTTTCAAAGGCTATCCAAGATAGCTGCCTGTCGGCCATTTTGTTTTTCTGATCAAAACCAAAATCTAACAGGTACAACTACAGACTGATGATGGAGGGCTAAAAATTGTTCATGTTCATATGGACGGATGGATGGCAGACACCGAACAATTTGAAAAACCCACCATGAAGATAGGCTAAAAATCCTAAACCAGTAAAGATATTTCAAATTTGACCTCGACCTTTGACCTACAAATTTGGCTGTGAAATATTTCAAATTTGACCTTGATATATACCAAATTTGACCTTGATATATACCAAATTTGACCTTGATATATTACAAATTTGACCTAGACATCTGACCTGATGACCTTGACCTGTGGTCAGATAACATTCTATTTTATTTCAGTCAACTATTCTGCATTATGTCATAAGTAAATATTTACCAGTAACACTCTGATATAATATATTTTTGCAGTACATTGATTTCTATTTATAGTAACAGTGACCTTGACTTTTCAACTCTTAACATGAAAAGCATAAGAGTGCTAGCACTTCTGTTCCTTTAAAGAAGCCATGGAGAAAGTTGGAGAGTAATCATACCAAAGGAACTGAAGATACTTTGCAGAAACCAATTTTCTATTTAGCAACAAACAGAGAGACAAATACAAACAGAAAATCTTATCATCCATCAGGGCATGATTGTGATTTAGTTTGAGTGGTGTGGAAGGGGTGTTTGTGAGTATGTGTGAATTTTGTATTAAAGGACTGTCCATTCACTAACCTTGGTCAATAGTCTTTGTTCCTTTGTGTGAAGACATATCAGTATTCACATAGCCTGGGCAACACTGTAATATAAAGTTTACAACTATGATGACATGAAGTGAATCAAGTTGGATCCTCTGAATTGATGGTACATCAATAGGTAGCCCTAAAGTACACCAGATATAGGTTCCTCTGAAGTATAGGTACACAAGACTTCTGAAGTACACCAGATATAGGTTCCTCTGAAGTATAGGTACACAAGACTTCTGAAGTACACCAGATATAGGTTCCTCTGAAGTATAGGTACACAAGACTTCTGAAGTACACCAGATATAGGTTCCTCTGAAGTATAGGTACACAAGACTTCTGAAGTACACCAGATATAGGTTCCTCTGAAGTATAGGTACACAAGACTTCTGAAGTACACCAGATATGGGTACCTCTGAAGTGTAGGTTCACCAGATATTAGTAGACATGAAGTTTAGGTACACCAGATGATGTGAAGATTCATTTAAGTGAAACAAATAAATAAATACATAATGAGAATTATATTTGTATGATAATACAGGTATTCATATATGAGTAAAGTTTGTACAATGATGAAAATATTTGATTTTCTTTAGATTAACTGTTATCATGATCACAATTTTAAATCACCAATTTAAATATACAAGGTATACGTAAATGATCAAATGGTTGTAGGATAGATATATTACAAAGATTATTAACAAGTCTGTGCTTACTGCATTCACTACAATATCTGTCCTTGAGTCCTTGAGAAGTTCTTGCTGCTGGATAATCGACATGGCTGTTACTCCAATTTTTGATGTCCCATAGGCTGTGTTTGGCCAGCCAGCCTGCTGGTGAGAACCCTTTTTAGCTTCACTGTGAAAGGATATTTAGAATCTATTCAACTGAGGTATTTACAAATAGCCAGAGATTATATAGCAATTTTAGCTTATTCTTTGAATTTGATTAGTGTCATCATGTTTGTACAAAAATATTGTCAACCAGCAAATTTATATACTGACAATATCATGTGTCTTTCATAGATGATATGAACAATTCTTGTTGATTTCTTTTAACAAAAACAAAACTAGAGTTGTCACTGAAGTGGTGATAAGAATACTCCCTACTTTTTTTCAAGATTATTATTTACACAACAAATTGTGCACAGTAGTATATGAGCTTACAAAGTTTTGTTATATCTTTCATATACAAGGTCACAGCTCTGTCAAGCATGTACCTTATAAATATATAAAAGAAATCCATGTAAAAATGAGCAAACTTTTAGACAAATGTGTTCCGTAAAGGGGCAAAATTCTTCCAAAAACAGTAACAAGAGGCCCATAGGGCCTGTACTGCTCACTTGACTTTGGCTGACTAAAACATACTTCATCAAAACAAAAGGAAAATTAATTCTAAATATCCAATATCCAACCATACCACACATCCATTTTCCCATTGGGTCATACCTCTGTCTCAAGGGGGAGGGGATGTCTGCCAGACAAACCATTCATGCTTCAGACCTAGTTGAGATAGAATCCTGCAATTCTTATAAGCTGAGTAGGATTTAAAGAATTTGTTCTATTTCCCCTATTGGGCCATGCCTCTTCGGCCCAGGAAAGCCAAGACCCATCATTTATACAGAATTTATTCCCCACCCAAAATGCTTCTGACCAAATTTGTGCAAAATCCAATCATTCCTTTGGGAAACATAAGATTTCCTTTGATTGGGCCCCAGACCCCTTAAGGGCAAAGACCCACCATTTATACCAATTGATTCCCTTCACTGAAAAATTCTTCAGACTGATCCATTCATTCCAACATGAAGATTAGGATTTTAAAGAATTTGTTCTTTTTCCTCTACTGGGCCCCACCCATTCTGCCCCAGGGGCCGAGACTAACTGTTTATAAAACATTGATTTACCTTCATCCAAGGATGTTTCAGCATAATTTTGAGCAAATTCCATGCATGTCTCCAGAAGAGGGAATCTACAGAACTTCATTTCCCCTTTTGACCCCGCCCCTTAGTCATCTGGGGCCAAGAACCAATATTCATAACTAGGTTCTTTTTCCTCCAAGGATGCTTCTGACCAAATTTGGTCAAAATTCACTCGGATGTTCAAAACGACAAAGTAGTAATAATTTGGCAATGTATATAAATAGGCGGACAGACGGATGGATGATGGAGAGAAGGACTGTCTGTCCTTCTGACCAGGTAAGCTAAATTGATCATATGATAACGTCTTTATACACTACCATAAATACTTACACAACAAAGTCATTTAGAAGAGATTTGAGTTCCTCCATAGAAAGGTTTGGATCCACAAATTTTTTCCTCAATTTGTCACTGCACTTTTTCACTGCACTTAGTGAGACCAAACTAGAGACATTAACCACTCTGTCAGAAAACAAAAAGGATGTTAATACAGTTTTAAATTTTTATGAATAGAAACAAAACATTTTTGTCTCAGCTAAAATTTATCACCCCTGTCCTGAAACCATCTTTGTTCAACTTCATTGTTATATGCAAAATGATAAAACTTACTGCATTTCAACAATGCCTCATCAAATTTAAGGAACATGTAGATTTCTTTATGAAGGCTTGTGTCTGTCTAGATCTGTTTCTTTCCTTTTATCTATGATTTTTTTTTATATAATAAATGGCAATTTAAAAAATACAGCGATTAATCATTAACAATACATGTACCGTGCATGTGGTCGAAGTATGGGAAATAGTGATTCACACACGTCTAGTGTTCCTGTAAAGTTGGTTCTAACTGTGACCTCTGCCTGCTCTCCAAATGGAGCAGTAGATGAAACCTAGAATGTCCAGCAAAATAATATTTTGAAGATAAATTCATAGCATCATAGTTACAATGTGACACACAACCGATCAATAGGCCCTCGAATAAATTTGCTTGAAATATTATTGTATAGTCCCAAATACAAAAAAGCATATAGATATTTCAAAATTTTGACAGGTTTACTTAGCATGATTTGTCCTTATAGTAAACAACATTAATCTATGCAATAGTTATTCTATAGTGTTTACTTAAGTAGTTATAGTTAATGTTCTGATACTCTAGGTTTACCTTATAGGCTATACCAGCATTGTTCACCAGTAGGTCCAGTCCTCCGTATGTTTCTTGGAGGAATATCTTAAGTTTATTGATGGTTTCGGGCTTTGTGAGATCCAAAATGTGGAACTTTGGGTGCAAGCCCTCTTTTTTCAGATCCTCCACGGCTTTGATACCAAGTTCCTCATTTCTAGCTAAATATTGATAACAGGATTGAATTACATGTATTCTGTTTCATACTTACATCTGTTATAAAAGTTAAAACATAAAAGCTTGCTGGTCATGATCAGCTATTTTATCAATTCAAAGTTTTACATTGTGTGTATTCACCAACTTGCTATGGGGCTTCTGTTTGAAGCATTTCACTGTGTAAATCTCTAACATTATTGGAATGTCTAGCTAGTGATTGTTACTAACAGTCTGAAGGCTACTTTGATTTTTTACTGATACTGTACTTCATAAACAAAGTTATATGACAAGGTATGCGATTGTGCGAGATAAATACAAAAATGTGCTTTGCCCAGTGTGTGAAGAGGGTGTGTAATGCAGTATTGAGCTTCGGTTTTTCATTTGTTGTAATAAGTACAAAATATAGTGTAGATTTAGTAAGAATGTATGTTTGTATAATTATGTGTACTCCAAGTCATTTTACTATTTTCTGATATATAACAATCCCATGTATAGTTTAATTCCTGCATTTTTTTCAGCTTTCGCTCTTATTTGCTTTAACTTACCTGTTAAAAAGACATCGCCCTTGAACTGCTTACATAGACCACGAACTATTGCAAAACCCACGCCTTTGTTAGCACCGGTTACCTTAAAAATAGTTAATAATGAAGAGTTACTTCCCTTTAATCAAACTGGACGTTTCACTTCAGACAAGAAAAGTATAAAGTAGTAAACACTTCAGTCGTTTAACATATATAAAGCATAGACGACAAATGAATTACAAATAAAATGCAGTTAATATATAGATATCTAGACTGAAGTTGAATCACACCATGGAAAATTCCTGTTAGACTAAATAACTTTGTCAAAATTGTTCAGCTCGTGCAAGGAGTCTGGTCGATAAGGGCACGAGTTCTTCGTTAATATGATAAAGAATGATTTGATAGTGACGTGATCCTCCTGATAAATCTGAGAGTAAAAACATATGCATGTCAGCAGAGAGGTATATAACACATGTGTTATATACGTCTCTGATGTCAGTCATAATTTATAAATGGAACTCTATGTTTTCTTTTATATATGAACAGTTTTGACATTAAAACACACATATCCTATTGAATTACACAATGTTCTTATTCGCAAAGAATAGAAATAACTCAATATGACTAAAAATAAGCCACTAATAATGATACAGAATGTTTATCATAACAGAGCTACAAACTTACCACGGCTACAAGGTTGTTCCCACTCATCTTTGCGTTCGTTTGGGCGACAGAGTTGTCTCCCTTCGTTTTTACAAGTTTAAGGATGCTCTAACGTAGGCAATCCGCTGAAATCTCAAACTGATGCGTTCAAAATATATGGTTGTTGCAAATTTATATCCTTGCTACAAGAGAGCTAATTTCATTTTACAAGATGATTAGGTATATCACACGAGCTTTGATAAACTCATGTACGTATGTTTTAATAACGCTATACAACATAATAATACGGGTACATATATACCATATGGCATGCCAAGTCCGTGCACGCCATATTACCACGGTCCGCGATCATATAAGTCCGTGATATTACTACACAAACATGTACAGTGTGTGTGATAGGATCTCAATTAAGTTTCAATTTCATTTGGGATTTTATAAATGGGAGTCCCAGAAGTTTTGATTTTTGTGTGCCTTTGCAGCCATTTTATTGCGCCATTCAAGGCGTCATTATCTATACTATGACATCACAATCTATTTCTGACTGGCACAGCCAATGGAAAACGTTTTAGGGTATTCTATACTAGTGGCATGCACCAATTCACTAGATAACAGACGGGCTGTGATAAATTGTCATATTCATAATGACACACACTGTACACGCATGTACTTTTATCATATACAGAGTACTAATATCAATCCAAAAACATGATGTAGCAGAGCATTTCTGCAGTCAAATTGATAAATATGACGCTTCACACACGTATTATGCACGTGCATATGTGATGCAAAATGAATTTAAGACTTGAAAAACCTGTAGGCATGGTTGAAATGTTTAAAATACATGACATGCACGTACGCGTGTGCATTTTATGACATACACATATACAAATTACTGATTCTATTTGTATCAAAAATGTACATCTTTTGTTACTTGGTTCCTACATTTGATACACGTATTCATTTTAATGCAAGGTGAGACATACATGCAGCTTCAAGAGTTTGTGACATGCACACATAATGATATAATTTACACTGAAGGTAAAAAAATGTCGATATTGTGTTCTTTGTATGGCATTTACTCAGGCTGATGTGTAGAACGATGGAGGCGACTAATACGAAACCTCATACTGATTGGTGAGGAGTCTAATGCGGAACTTATTGTCAACTTGTGGAGGAGACTGATTTTGAATATTTCTGTATAATTGTTGAGATAACTGATGTTGAACCTCATGTAGAATTATGGAAGAGACTGGTCTTGAACTTTTCTGAAAAGTTGTTTGTTGAAGAAACTGACGTGTAATTTTTTCTGTAGAATTGTGTAGAATGATGTGGAACCTCCTGCCGATTGTTAAGGAGACTTATAATAAATAACTTTTTGTAGAATTGTTGAGGAGCCCGATGCGGAACGTAATTTCTATTGAATTGTGGAGGAGACTGATGTGGAACCTCTTGCCGAATTGTTTAGGAGACTGATTTGTAACTTATTGTGTATGAGACTGGTGTGGAAACTACTGAGGGATTGTTGAGGAAGCTGATGTGCAATCTCCTGCCGTTTGTTGATGAGACTAATGTGGAGCATTCCTGTAGCATTGATGATGAGACTGATTTGGAACATTCCTGTAGAATTGTTGAGGAGATTGATATGGAACATTTATGTATAATTGTTATGTATAATTGTTGAGGAGATTGATGTGGAACATTCCTGTAAAATTGTTCAGGAGACTGATTTAGAGCCTTCCTGTAGAAATTTTGAGCAGACTGATTTGGAATTTTCCTGTTTAATTGGTGAGGACACTGATGTGGAATTTTCCTGTTTAATTGTTGAAGAGACTGATGTGAAATTTTCCAGTAGAATTGTTGAGGAGACTGATGTGGAATTTTCCTGTAGAATTGTTGAGGAGACTAATGTGGAACGTTTCTGTTGAAATGACGAGGAGGCTAATGTGAAATGTTTCTGTTGAATTGATGAGAAGACTGATGTGGAATTTTCCTGTTTAATTTTTGAAGAGACTGATGTGGAATTTTCCAGTAGAATTGTTGAGGAGATTAATGTGGAACTTTTCTGTTGAATTGATGAGGAGACTGATGTGGAATTTTCCTGTAGAACTGTTGAGGAGACTAATGTGGAACGTGTCTGTTGAAATGATGAGGAGGCTAATGTGGAACGTTTCTGTTGAATTGATGAGGAGGCTAATGTGGAACGTTTCTGTTGAATTGATGAGGAGACTAATGTGGAACGTTTCTGTTGAAATGATGAGGAGAATGATGAATTGGAGACTAATGTGGAATGAATTTCTGTTGAATTGTTGAAGACTGATGTGGAATTTTCCTGTTGAATTTTTGAAGAGACTGATGTGGATGAATTGAATTTTCTGATGTGGTAGAATTGTTGAGGAGACTGATGTGGAAATTGCCTGTAGAATTGTTGAGGATATTAATGTGGAACGTTTATGTTGAAATGATGAGGAGACTGCTGTGGAACGTTTCTGTTGAATTAATGAGGAGACTGCTGTGGAATTTTCCTGTTGAATTGATGAGGAGACTGATGTGGAAATTGCCTGTAGAATTGTTGAGAAGACTGATGTGGAAAATGCTTGTAGAATTGTTGAGGATATTAATGTGGAACGTTTATGTTGAAATGATGAGGAGACTAATGTGGAACGTTTCTGTTGAATTGAGGAGACTGCTGTGGAAGGTTTCTGTTTAATTGTTGAGGAGACTGATGTGGAAATTGCCTGTAGAATTGATGAGAAGACTGATGTGGAAATTTCCAGTAGAATTGTTGAGAAGACTGATGTGGAAATTTCCTGTTTAATTGATGAGGAGGCTGCTGTGGAATTTTCCTGTAGAATTGTTGAGGATATTAATGTGGAACGTGTCTGTTGAAATGATGAGGAGACTGCTGTGGAACGTTTCTGTTGAATTGATGAGGAGACTGCTGTGGAACGTTTCTGTTGAATTGATGAGGAGACTGCTGTGGAACGTTTCTGTTGAATTGATGAGGAGACTGCTGTGGAACGTTTCTGTTGAATTGATGAGGAGACTGATGTGGAACTTTTCTGTTGAATTGATGAGAAGACTGCTGTGGAACGTTTCTGTTGAATTGATGAGGAGACTGCTGTGGAACTTTTCTGTTGAATTGATGAGGAGACTGATGTGGAAATTGCCTGTAGAATTGTTGAGAAGACTGATGTGGAAATTTCCAGTAGCATTGTTGAGAAGACTTATGTGGAAATTGCCTGTAGAATTGTTGAGGAGACTTATGTGGAAATTTCCTGTAGAATTGTTGAGGAGACTGATGTGGAACGTTTATGTTGAATTGATGAGGAAGCTAATGTGGAACGTTTCTGTTGAACTGATGAGGAAGCTAATGTGGAACGTTTCTGTTGAATTGATGAGGAGACTGCTGTGAAAACGTTTCTGTTGAATTGTAGAATTGATGAGACTGATGTGGAATTTTCCTGTAGAATTGATGAGGATATTAATGTGGAACGTTTCTGTTGAATGATGAGGAGACTGTGGAACGTTTCTGTTGAATTGATGAGGAGACTGCTGTGGAACGTTTCTGTTGAATTGATGAGGAGACTGCTGTGGAACGTTTCTGTTGAATACTGATGTGGAACGAATTTTCTGTTGAATTGCCTGATGAGGATGTGGACTGCTGAATTGGAACGTTTCTGTTGAATTGATGAGGAGGCTAATATTGAACGTTTCTGTTGAAATGATGAGGAGACTGCTGTGGAACGTTTCTGTTGAATTGATGTGGAGACTGATGTGGAACGTTTCTGTTGAATTGATGAGGAGACTGCTGTGGAACGTTTCTGTTGAATTGATGAGGAGACTGCTGTGGAACGTTTCTGTTGAATTGATGAGGAGACTGCTGTGGAACGTTTCTGTTGAATTGATGAGGAGACTGCTGTGGAACGTTTCTGTTGAATTGATGAGGAGACTGCTGTGGAACGTTTCTGTTGAATTGATGAGGAGACTGCTGTGGAACTTTTCTGTTGAATTGATGAGGAAGCTAATGTGGAACGTTTCTGTTGAATTGATGAGGAGACTAATGTGGAACGTTTCTGTTGAATTGATGAGGAGGCTAATGTGGAACGTTTCTGTTGAATTGATGAGGAGACTGCTGTGGAACGTTTCTGTTGAATTGATGAGGAGACTGCTGTGGAACGTTTCTGTTGAATTGATGAGGAGACTGATGTGGAAATTGCCTGTAGAATTGTTGAGAAGACTGATGTGGAACGTTTATGTTGAAATGATGAGGAGACTAATGTGGAACGTTTCTGTTGAATTGATGAGGAGACTGATGTGGAATTTTCCAGTAGAATTGTTGAGGATATTAATGTGGAACGTGTCTGTTGAAATGATGAGACTGATGTGGAACGTTTCTGTTGAGAAGACTGATGTGGAATTTTCCTGTAGAATTGTTGAGAAGACTGATGTGGAAGAATGTTTCCTGTAGAATTGTTGAGAGAGATGTGGAAATGTGTAGAATTGTTGAGGATAGACTGATGTGGAAATGTTGAAATGATGAGGAGGCTAATATTGAACGTTTCTGTTGAATTGTTGAGGAGACTGATGTGGAATTTTCCTGTTTAATTGTTGAGGAGACTGATGTGGAATTTTCCAGTAGAATTGTTGAGGAGATTAATGTGGAACTTTTCTGTTGAAATGATGAGGAAGCTAATGTGGAACGTTTCTGTTGAATTGATGAGGAGGCTGCCGTGGAATTTTCCTGTAGAATTGTTGAGGATATTAATGTGGAACGTGTCTGTTGAATTGATGAGGAGACTGCTGTGGAACGTTTCTGTTGAATTGATGAGGAGACTGCTGTGGAACGTTTCTGTTGAATTGATGAGGAGACTGCTGTGGAACGTTTCTGTTGAATTGATGAGGAGACTGCTGTGGAACGTTTCTGTTGAATTGATGAGAAGACTGCTGTGGAACTTTTCTGTTGAACTGATGAGGAAGCTAATGTGGAACGTTTCTGTTGAATTGATGGGAAGGCTGCTGTGGAACATTTCTATTTAATTGATGAGGAGGCTGCTGCGGAAATTGCCTGTAGAATTGTTG